CAATCAGTCCGACGACGAAATTCTCCATCCCCTCAGGGACGGGCTGCGATTGTGAAGCCATATTATCTGCTGCGCGATGATAGCAAGAGCAGGAAACACGAATCACATCCTCTCAAGCGACTGTTCTTTGTTGGAGCTTTGTGCAGAAAGCTCAAAAGAGTGTGTTTGAGAGTGAAGAAAAAGTCAGAGTGAAAAAAAGTTCGCGACCTTCTTTATGGTGGAGATTTGAAGCGCGTTACGTAAGCCTGCGAGATTTCGCGATATAGCGATAGGTGGATCTATGAAGCTATCCACTTCAGCGTCAAGAGAAGCACGCAGAACATCGAGAGGAGCTTTTGATGACTTGCACGGATTTCTGTTCAAAATTTCGCTTCTTTTGAAAAATGGAGGTCGTATTTGCGTTAGGCTCAAATGGCTCTGGTCAACTGGGCATTGGCCACAAGGAAGACGTTTCAGTGCCGAAGCAGGTCCTCTTCCATCCTGACCCTCCAATCTCCCCCATTACACAAGTCGCAGCGGGTGGGAACCATACATTGCTTCTTACAAAAACCGGCCAACTTTACTGGAGTGGTGATCCTACGCCTGGTGCATGTGGACTGAACACTGGTCCAGATGCAGCTGTGTTTCGAAAGATTCAGCTTACCAAGAATGGAGAATCTCCAGTTGGCGAGATTGCCTTGATCACAGCAACTTGGGAGGCTTCTTTCATTGTGGCTAAAGATGCAGATGGAAAGAAGACTCGAGTTTTTAGTCTCGGTGCGGGTATGAAAGGCGAACTAGGTCTAGGAGAACTCATCGTTCGGACACCGTCAGCAACACAAATTCGAGAATTTCCACCTTCAGGAACAGAAGTTGTCGACGTGGCTGCTTGCATGGGACATGTCGTTGCGGTTCTCGACAATGGTGATGCTTACGGCTGGGGTAATGCGAGAAAATCCCAAGCTGGTGAGCCGGGCCAAGTCCTTCATGCTCCTAGAAAGATTGGGGGCATCGACTTCAAGATTACAAGAGCTGTCTGTGGCAGAGAATTCACATGTCTATTCGGTGACCCACAAAGTGGATACATCAAGGTTCTGGGTTCAGACAAATGGAAAATTCAATCAAGTGCACCCGAGACATGTCCTGAGTGGAAGGACGTGGGCTCTAGTTGGGGAAACGTCTATATACTGGCAAAGGATGGTTCTCTAAAGGCCTGGGGACGAGATGACCACGGACAACTACCTCCACCAAATCTACCGGAGCTGAGCAAGATCGCAATCGGCAGCGAACATGTTGTTGCTCTCTCTACTGCAGGCGATGTTCTATCATGGGGATGGGGCGAACACGGCAACTGTGGACCTCAAGTTGAGAATAACGATGTCAAAGGCCGGTGGAATATCATTGCTTCGTCTAAATTCATTCCTCCGGGCTCCAAAATAGGAGAAGTCGGGGCAGGATGTGCTACCAGTTGGGTATTCATTACAGCTGAGTGAACATATTCGTCTAGATGCGACATCTTTCGTCCTTCATAACATTTCCTTGTCCTCAGTCGGGGAATAGGGCCAGACTTTCGACCTCTGTCAACTTTTGTGTTGGTTCAATGTATGTTGATTCAGCATCTGTTGGCGGCGGATGGGAATTTTCGGCTTCAGGTTCAACAGGAGCAAGGTTCTCTATGAAGCGGCTCGTGTTCATATCAGAGGCATTCTACTATAGTCAGTACGCGGTCAAAATAAGGGCTCTTACGACTCACAGGATCGATGCTATGGTCCCATCCCAGCTTAGCATTATCCTCTGCAATCTCTTCATCCTCGTAGTTAATAGGCTCCCAACCTTCATCCTCAACGAACAGACTCTCGGATCTGTTCGTCGCAGGTGGTGCTGGTTTCTGCGAAGGCCGAAGGTCGAATACTCCTACGCGCGAAGCGCTAGCTCTAGCAGCGCTCATCTGTGGTGTTGGGTTATGCTGAGGTAATGATGGGGGAGGAGGTGCTGGCGCGGGTGCTGGTTGTGACTCTGGAGGAGCCATGCTCGGCCGGCGTGATGTGGCTTCAAGACGTGGCCCGGTATTCTGCGGTGCGTTCTTGCGTCCTTTCTTAGTCCTCTGGCCGGTATTAGCCCCGCGCTCGCCAACTGTCATGACGAGGAATTCGCATGACATGGCGTCGCCAGTATACGAAAGCTGGATGGGTTGTGTAGGAATTGAGTAGCGGGCCGACACATCGTTGCCTGTGATGCCAGCATGTTGAATAATAGCGCGGAAGTCTTTGACAGATATTACAATGTGAAGTTTGTCTTCCACATCAATGTCGTCAAACTCATCCGCTTCGACAGCGATTGATGTCTGGAGTGGCTTTTTCAAGACCGCTATTGAATGTCAGCTTATAGGCAAGCATCTTGTCAGGAGATGACACACCATCCTCGCTCACAGTCTTCTCACTGAAACAAGTAAAATTGACATGATCTCCATCAGTGTTGATATCGAGGAACTCAATACCAGGGCCAAAGTGATCCATGAGCTGGCGTAATGTGCGTGAAGAGATTGTCCAGTGGTGGGGAGCATCTTGTTTGTTGAACTTGGCGTGGACCGGTACAGAAACCTCGAATGGGAGACGGTGTGTAGATGTTATTCCGTTTCGAAAGATGAGACGTGCGATGAATCGACTTTGAACTCCCTCTCCATCTTCGATTGCTACATCGCATCTGTCGATGAGCGTTTGTTTCTCTGCATCTCTTTGTGAGTCAGGCGCCGTACGACTTCGAAATAAGGAGATCAGAGCCTTCAATTTATCAGCGACGAGGTCCATACCATGGAGGGAGAATTGAGCTTACTCGTATATAGAGTGTGCAGTAAAAACGATCACGGAATTGGCGACTTCCTTGGTACTGGTATCGGGAGAAGAACTTGGTCGTCGCAAATCTGACACTTGCGTAGGCAGATTTTGAGGTGTTGAGGGTAGTGAGAATAAACTAGAGATGAGATGTGAGTAACTGGCTAAGGGAGAGCTTTTGGCTCATGTTGAACATACTGAATCCTTGCGTGCCTCGAGTGAAACGTCGTCACTGAATTTGTTCAGACAGATGAGGGCATCGCGAAAGGCCGAAACGCCTTCCTCACTGAGGGTGAAACTGAGTAGCGCCATGAAGCCTCAAATTGTTCAGATGGCTCATGAAAACAGTTTCGTCATGTTTGAAGTCAGTTGTGAAGTCCATGTAATTCAACATGAAATGGCAGGCACGCGTTCACGCTCCATAGAGCAATCATGACAAGTCGGAGTTGGATGTGGATCCGGAACCCCACTAGACTTACCCTGTAGGTGATGATCGAAACACCAAGAAAATACATCGTCATCACAGCCGAGTTCAATTTGTGAAATGTCAAGTTGTATTAGGAGGAATAATCTAATATTTGTCCCTCTTCCGACCAAAAACTCCCCAGAATCCAGTATTGTCGTGTCATCGTTCCAGCGCCGCCAAGACGTGTAGTTCCATCAGAATATTACTTAGGTGCAGCCAAACCACCAAATACCTAGCGACGGAAGCAGCTGAACTTTCCGAGAGAGAATCGCCAAGGGCCCCGTCGGACACCATGTTTGTCAACATGAACACTGGTGCCAAAATGACGACCACCGACTCCCTTTGACCAGAAAAGACCCATGATGTTGTTTGTTGTTTGTTGTTTGTTTTGTAGGTTTGAAAGTATAGGTTATCTAGATTGATACCATTAGCTCAGGTATGGCTGGCTGAAGGGGGAGAATTGTATTCACCTTTGTATCGAAGTTGATGGGATGTCGTTGAAAGAAGCTTGTTTACGAGGAAAATAAGGTGTTGGGGGGCTGCAGATCAACTTTATACGATATCTCGCTGGCATAACAAGCCCAATCCAATCGCTGCCTTGGCAGGGACCATGGTAGAGGCCTCTGTAATTCGATCTGCGATTCCTCGTCAGTGACATATTTTGGCGCTCAGTGACGTAGGCTTGGTGGCGCTGTTAAGGCTACGCCACACATGATACAACCCTGATAAAAGTTGCCCTCTTTATTCTTTATCACTTGATTTCTGGCTGAAAGAGCTTACAAATATGAAGACACTTTGAAATCATGGTAATATAGGTAGATTGAATAAATTATTTCGTAACTTGTCTCCCATCAATTGTTTGCTTCAACTGAGGTTGATTTACAGTACAATCTTCCTTCAGTGGCATACTTTTGAACTACTAAGGATGCCCTCAGGGAGCAAGAAAACATCTGACCCTAAGACAAGGTGCCAAAAAGAACTAGTCTAAGATCCACTGAATCTATACTAAACTTACCTAAGCCTTTTTGTCATTTAGGATAGAGGTCCTAAGTTTTGCCTCTCCTAGGGAGGGTCCAACATGGTTGTTCAAAAATCAAGCTCGACGCATGTAAATCTTGCCTCCTTTCATCCAAGTGAAACACCATCGACGAAAAGCCACGATAATCCCACCACCATGAATCTTCAATATCTACGCGTCAACACTCTTCGATTTTACCACACAAGTGAAGCGTTATGGCGGCTCTAGTGCTTGTAAGAACAAGAAAAGTTGTTTCCGTGATCAACCTTGTTCTTTCATCAGAAATTGACGGTGAATGGAATTCTCAACGACCAGAATCTTCATTGCCTTTTGTTCGCAGATTACTGATCTTGATATTGCTCTTGTTAGGTTGCTGTTTACTTCCCATTCTTAATCACCCTTCCCGTACAGGCGCATTGTTTGATGATGCGAAGGGATGGCACGGCAGAAGTGTCTGTTCAGGCAATGCCGTTATTGGATGTTGGCGCATGCTTCGTGAGAACACATCTTCTCAGTGCTGAACATTTCCTGAAGTGCATCACAGTCCGTGAAAGAAAAGAAGGACAGTGTATCTCCAGTCAAGTGACAGACGAAACCATGGCATACATACACAGCCTTTGGAAGCAATTAAAGCACTTATCATCACCAACTGCTCACTCAGCACCACACAAACGAGTAAACCAACACCTGGAAACAACTTGTCAAAATGGCCGATTCTTCCCCTGAGACTCCTGCTGAGACTCCCACCAACGACCAGCAGGGTGACCAGCAGGGTCTTCGCCGCTCAAGTCGCTCAAACCGTGGTCAACTCAACCAGAATCGCTCCCTCCTACAACACTATGTCGTAGGAGAAGCGGCAGGTCGCCCGATTCCCGGGCCCGGATGTCGCCGCACTATCGCAAAGCCTGAAGCTGATGATGATGAGGATAAGTCGGTACCGCTGGCACAGTCAGCGCACACAGCTTCCAACAATGCACGTCGGCCTAGAAAGCAAAGCCAGAGTAACAATCTTGCCAACTTTGGGAGTCATGAGGAGGCACCGGCCCTTGCTACAGGGGCGGTAGCCTTGGGAACCCCTAGGCGAAGCAGTATCCCAGCTTCTCATCCTCGTTCACCCCCCCTTCAACAGATTGGTGATCGCCGCCGAAGTGCCTCTCCGCCCCAGTTTGCTTCTCCAAACATGAGAGATCGTCAAGACCTGGCTCCCCAGCAGCAGATAATGTCCGCTTTCCCTCGGGAGCAAGCCTTTCAGTATGGGCCTCAACTATCTCAGTATGTTCTTCAGCATGCTCCTCAGTCTCAGAACATGGCACAGCAGCAGATCCCATCTCTTCCAGTGTCTGTGCAGTCCGCTCAGATGGCTCCGCCTCAACACGTTGAGCAGCAAACTCATGAATCTGCCTCCAATGCCCCTGGAGTCTATGTGAACCCAGCGGATTTGATGTTAGATACACAGCCTTTGGTGGATCCACAGATGAACAATATTCAGGGATCTGAAATTCCTCAGTTTGCACAACTAGTTGAGTTGTATAATAGCATTCACGAGGAACGTCGCGCACAGGAAGAACGAGACCGTCTGGCTGCGCAGGAGAAAAAAGATAAAGCGAAAGCGGCGGACGCGGAGGAGATGGACCAGGAGGAGATGGACGCATTATGGGCTCAGTTTATAAACTCTGATGCTTTCAAATGATACCATTAGCAAGGTAAGCTTATCACTAAGGTGATATTGCTGACGTTTTCTTTTCAGAGTTTTCTTATTTGAACGGCAGATTTCACCTCCAAAGTTGGTAGTTTCTTTCACAGGTATGTCTTCATTCAGCGACAGAATAGCTTGGCTCAAGTGGGCTATGCTTTTGGGAGTGAAAATCGTTGGCAGATGAAGGCCGGAACTTCATCTCCAATACAACCCTTGCTACGGTAGGTAAAACTAGAAAAAAATAAAACTAACAAGTAAGTGTTGGACCAAACTCAGCCCCTAAAACAACCTCATGTGAAGTATCTTGTGTGAATTATGAGTCAATCCGCTGTAGTCGAGCGGCTACTTGGAATGAAGTGACTTCCATCCTGCAGCGACCAAACTCTCATGGCCTGCTCGATCGCCAGCACCCGTCCAGTAGAACAAACCACCCAGGCCCATTGCTTTGGCATACCTCGCCTTGACACGAACCGTGCTAGGAACATCGAACGAGACAAACCCTTTGTTTCCCTTGGTGTCGACAAAGGATGCCGCTGCAACGGATTCGTCGACCTTTGCGCCTGCTACCCACTCATCTGGCAAATCGTAGTAGTCAATCTCGCCTGAGCCCTTGAAAGGGTGGCCTGGTCCACGTGCCTGTCCAAAATATCTGGCATATACTGGAATGCCGAGGATGATCTTACGGCTGGGAAAACCCTGCGAGGTCAGGTAGTCAACGCCACGCTGGCACGACTTGCGAAGGGTGGGATACACCTCGTTAAGATTTTTGCTTGGAGGCAGAAGCTGCGCATGATGGCCACAGACGTCGGTCCAGCCGCCCGTGAAATCGTAGCCCATGAGGTTGAGGAAGTCGAGTAATTGGGCTACGACTGGTAGGTTGAGATGCTTGAGGCAGTACTCGCCCGTGGGGAGAGCGCTTGTCAGCAGGTATTTAGGAGCCGGCATGGTCTCTCGGATGGCCTGGAGGTACAGAACATAGTTCTTTCCAGCTTCTGGAGTCTGAGGGTGCTCCCAGTCAACTGTTGCAAGTTAGCTCTGGAGTAGCTTTCAACTGGATATCCACATACTGTCAACTCCATCGAAGTGAAGGGCGTCACAAAACTCCTTGATCTGACGAGCAAAAGTCTGTCTCGCTGCTCTGCTCGCTGCAAGTGCAGGAAACTCCTTGCTGCTAGAGCCACCACCAATCGAGACGAGTGTCTTTATATGCGGGTGCTGGCCCTTCAACTTGCGAAGTGCTGCAAGACAGCCCTTTTCGCCATCAACTACTTTAGTGTTGTCACCCCAATCATCGATGGACTACAGATGAAGTCAGTGAACAGTATACTGGATTTCGAGTGGGACTGCGTACTCGAAGTGTACCATCCTCGTTGACACTGCAGGTGTTAACTTGAGATATACTTTTTGGTGGTTTGGGAACTTACCCAACAAAGGCGTAGAATATGTGAGTGATTGAAGCAGTGTCCAGGCATGAAGGGGGACGCTCTTTGTAGCAGCGCCACGAGGGATAGTATACAGCGTTGATGTATTGGTTCGACATTTGTACGGACGCAAATAACAATGAAGAAACGAAGAAAGAACAAAAAGAAGAGGCTTTATAAGAGGATAGTTCAGGTATCAATAATCAATGGTTTCTACGTTGTACAAAGACTCAGCCCAGTAACTGACCCACAGGTGGCTGTGGTGTTGATGATTGGACCTGGTCCGTTTTCGTTAGTTCAAGAGTAGTCGATGATTTATTGAAAGAGGCGTGTGCTGAGCGACCTGAGAAAGAAAAACTGTTTTATTTATAGTCATCATGAGAGGAAATATGAGATCATCGGGCACCAAAGAAGAAGCGCAATTGGCAAGAGGTAGCCAGCTGGCCGAGCAGTATAAATTCAGTTGCCACTTGCCCAGCCATCACTAACAACAGCTTTGCATAAACGCAATGTAGTGTATTTTATGTATCAATATGCATTATTCATTGATTGAGATATTGTGATAGTCTATAAATATCTGTCTTGCCGAATCAAGTTTGCTATACTGTTGATTATTGACACCATCTCTCAATCTCAACCCCATCCAGCTCATCCAGGATATCAAAACTCACACCCGCCTGCCTGGAAGCTACAACAATGATATCAAACTTTCTCAGGACATCTTTTCGCCAGTCTTCATCTAAGAGACGCCGAACCTGAGGTAGTGCACATTGCTTGACCAGAGAATCGGCCTAACATACGTCCACCTCGCGCGAAACAGCGAGACTCTTGACAAGGTCTGCTCCTGGGGAGTTGTCAATCTGTGACTGGCCAGCTTTGAAGCCCACACCCACTACAGGGACTCGAGGCGTTCTTCCTGTGACTCTTTGCCTCAGTCTCTTGAGCATCCTCTCGGCTAGTCTTGATGGTTGAGAATGCATCGCAAGTGTAGCGCACTCAAGCAAAGGGAAGTGACTGTTTGAGAGGAGATAGAAGGGGTTGACTGGGATACAGTGTCCGCCCACGCCAACATCAGGAGAATATGGCATGTATCCAAATGGTTTTGTCGAGGCAGCCTGGCAGACTTCATATGGATTAATGCCGTGTGGGATACATGCGTCTGCCATTTCTTTTAGTTGGGTTCCTCATGTTGATGCATCAGTGGCTGTAAGCTCTGTTGCATGTTTTAGAGCGTGATTAGTTTAGTCGCATCCACTTTGTTTGCTGTTTGTTAGTTAACCTTTGTTAGCATCACCGTTCACTCCTTATGGTGTTGAGGCATCTCGAATCGAGGGGATGTGTGTTAACGATCATGCGATGTTAATGTAATATCAAGAAAATCACTGTGATGGACTCTCTCATAGGCTGGAAACGTTCTTCGCCGTCTAATTTCGGAGAGCAATAAGACACTACGGTAGGTATCTGTGGTGAAGAAGAAAGTAGCTTTGGATAACACTCCGAAATATCGCCATATCTAGAACATTACGTTTGCCTGATTAGCAAACTGCTCTTCTTTAGTTTGTGTTTCGAAATACTTAGTAGCGGGTTTACTAATCTGGTCATGATCATCATCTCGATGAACTTCGGATAACCACCTCAGTGCAAGGTGAAGCCCCATCTGGACTTGGTGATAGGGGTAAAAACACAGAATAATCTCCTTTGAGCGATTTTGAAAAGAAAATTTTGATTCAGGCGTGGAGGTGATCGACGTCAGTGGAAGATGTCCGAGCTCGTGATAGCGTCAGAGTTGACGGTGAGAAGTTGGCAGACCGGGCAACATGGAGCTCGATCGCGGAAGAGACAGGAGTGGTTTTTTGTTGCTAGGGGTCAAAGATCGAATAATGATGCTTATGTTAAGCTTAAGTCTCAGTATAACTCATCTCTTGATGTAGAAGTCGTCTGCTCCTTGCTATCTGCTCTAAGTTCTCTTTCGTTTGCTCCAAGAACCACCGTCTGCTTGTACTACCAACACCATGGTGACTTTACATGTTTCGGAAGCTGATAATGCTAAGAGGACTGTAAAGTTGACTCTCTTTCGTTAGTGGGATCTTTCTAACATGCCACAGAGTACCTCCTGGAGAAGTCCATCCCAACAGGAAAAGAGCTATCCTCCCCTGCCCTCATTCTTCACCAAGGGGTCAAACAACAAATATGTTCTCAAGGACAATGATGGTCACTTTTATGATGTATCCTTGGGTGAGATCCTAGAGAGAACCAGTCAATACGATGGAATGTCGTCTGATGAAAGCATTGGTCCCTCACTATTCACTTCCTCCCTCTCATACAAGTCTTCCTTTGACCAGACACCCATCTCCCCATTCTCATCCAGCCCACCCACCAAGCCAAGCAGACCTTCTCTTGGGGAGTCTTCTCATCAAAGAGACCTCATTCTTCCTCGCCCGAGGCTACCTGAACCAGTAGCTCGACGACGAGATAGTGGGTCGGCGTACAGCGTTGAAGATGTCTTGGTTGAGGCTGTTGACTACACTGCCACTGCCACTCAAACCTCTCCCCGCAACTCAATCCTGAAGGAAAATTCCGCTCCTGCCCCCAAGATTGAGATTGACTCTGAGTCCCAGAACTTGGATGAGTATCTGAGGAAGTATGGTCAGAGAAAAGTCACTCGGCAAAAGCACATCATGACTGCGTTTCTGATTTCTGTCAAGTAAGTCTCTCAACACTCCTCGACAAGATAAATATGGTTCTAACACTATAAAGTTTTATGTTCATCTTTGCCTCTTGGTGGTGGCCTCGCTATTACTATGTCTACATCCCATTCATCTCATTCCCCCTTGTCCTCAACTGCATCATGATCGCCTCCATCATCTGTATCACTCTCAAGAATCTCATCTCTGCGGAGAAGATCATTGAGCCTGATCACCTCGAGGACCTCATCATGATTATGCCTTGCTATAACGAAACTCTGGAAGAATGTACCAAGTCTCTTGATTCCCTTGTTGATCAAGTTGGTATTGACAACCACAAGAGGGGTATCATGGTTATTTGCGACGGCCGTGTCCGCGGCCCTGGAATGGAGAAAACGACAGCCCAGTACCTCAATGAAGACACTTTTGTCGAGAAACTCCACCGTGAGAAGATCACCAGAGCTTATAGAGCCTGGGATGGTCAGGCCATGGATGTTGAGGTCTCATGGGGTTACTATAAGGGCGTCCCCTTCTACTGTATCGTTAAAGAGAAAAATCAGGGGAAACGCGACAGCCTCATTGTTATCCGGTCGTTTTTGTACAAGTTCAACATCAGACAAACCAACCCCACGACAATATTTTCTTCTCAATTTCTGCTCTCAATGAGCGACTGGCTTACACAAGAGGTCAGGGTCATCAAGTGGACCATTTGATTGGCATGGATGCAGACACCATCTTTGACAAGGTCTGCATTTCAGAGCTTCTCAAAGAATCAAAATACCCAAATACGGTGGGCGTTTGTGGCTATGTTGCAGTTGATTTCAAGGACGGCAATTGGAATCTGTGGTCAATCTATCAGAATGCCGAATACATAATTGCTCAAGGCTTGAGACGACTGCACCAATCCATTGCCACAAAAAAGGTCTCATGCCTGCCAGGATGTTGTCAGCTACTAAAATTCTGCGACATGACTTGCGGTGACAAGGTCCTTGTTGAGCTGTTTGGATATTATCTTAGACCGCTCGATGGCATGATCACACGCATTCGAGCCACTGCTTCTGAAGTCAGAAATCATATCTGTCAGCTTCTCACAACCTTCCCAGAGGCGCAAACTCGACAGGCTTTGAGAGCCCGAGCGTACACAGATGTACCTCATTCTTGGAGTGTTTTCTTGTCTCAACGACGTCGATGGACCCTTGGAGCTACAAGCAATGATTTGCTGTTGGCGACAGCAAGACACTGCCAATGGTGGGAACGAATTCTCGCTTTTTCTAATGTCCTTACTTGATGTCTCAATGTCTTTGTAATTGCTTCTATCGGATGCATGATCGTTGCTTTTATGCATCAGCCATGGTGGATCATCATGGCCTTTGCAGGCATTATGATCGTACCACTCATCTACTACGTTATCATGGCTGTCTGGCTCCCTCAGTCAATGCTGGAAAGATTCCAGTATCTTTTCGGTCTTTTCATCTTCGTTGTTCTCGGACCATTTTTGAACATTGCAGTCATGGTCTTTGCAGTTTTTAACATGGATAGCTTTGGCTGGGGTAAAACTAGGAAGGTCATCGCTGAAACCCCTGAAGACCAAGTTCAGGAAAAGCAAAGACTGGAGGAGTCTGGAAGTGGCTCAGCCTCACCACAGCTGAATAATGGAAGTAAACAGGTTGATGAGACTGCAGCGGGAGTAGCTATCTGGAGGCCAACAGTAGTATACGTGCCTCCAATTGCTCAACACCGGTAGTTCGGTTATAGTTTGCACTAGTTTGACGCCAAAGCCACAATACGATAGACTTAAAACTTCTAAATGTTGATCCTAACCTTGATTAAGCCTAAAGTCGGGGTGCACATCCACGTGTATATTCTCAGATCTATCGAATGCTTGAGCCTCGAGTCTAACAAAGACACCCCTGTAAATTTTCCAAACTGCGTCTTTCAACGTCGTCAACCACATCAAAGCGCGATCTTCAGCTCCCCACCCACCACCCGAGAGGCTGGTGTTTAAATTTATATAGTTCAAAGTCTAGAAACACTACGCTAGAATCGGGAGCGGCGGTCCAGAAACTCCTTGAAAAACGTGTCGATCCCGTACCTCTCCTGGTAAAGTGCGGCTACTGCCAGGAACAAGGGGTGGTGTAAAACGCCATCAGGTAAATATTTCCAAGTATGGTAACTCGGTTTGAGACAAGCCATTGTTGATGATGTATGGGATCCCAAGTTTGGGATCCCAACATGACGCAGAGTGACCAAATTCGCTCAGTTTTCTCATTGTACTATAGCTCCTTTTGTCAACAGTCGATCAGTAATGGTATAATCAACCATTTCTTTGATCACTGCGTGAGCCCACTGAGAGTCTTTACCGGAGGAAGCGTCAACGCCAGCAACGCCTCGTCATTGTTGTTGGCGCTGAAAATAGGACTCAACAAGACTAAAAAGATTTTTGCGTCAATGGTTCACCTTTGTTATCCACAAAGGAAAACATCCGTAACGCCGGCCTCGTCATTAAGGCCTGTTGGTCGGATCGAGAACCGTCCTAAAGATGTCTGGCAGGCATCAAGGATTTAAAATACTCAATAGTCTAGAATTAAAGATTCGTCATGGATATAACTTGCATATATCTACGAGCTCTGGTACACTTGTGTGTCGATCCTCAGTCTTTATCTCTTCAGCACTAAAGGATTCCTTGGATAATTGTTAGTGTTTCATAATGAAGTCTCTCACTCTCCTATCGCTGGCTGCTCTGCCGAGCATGGTCTTTGCGGATGACTTCATGGTCAGGCGCAAAGGAGCCGAGTTCAACATCGCTGCTCGTCATGAGCACGCCTCAACTCAGTCTGAAGGACTTCAGAAGCGAGTCTCTTGTGGAAAGGATATTGGCTCGTGTCCCACGGGACAATGTTGCTCTGCCGCTGGCTACTGTGGCACCACTTCGCCTTATTGCACTTCACCACAATGCCAAATGGACTATAGCAACGGCAACTGTGATGGAAGGTATGTTTGTTTCCGAACTTAACATCGGCGCCTGGCCTAACTCCTGTTCAGCAAGAAGCCCAAGGGTGATACCACAGCCAACATTCCCAGATCAACCACTGGCAAGGTCCCTTATAGTAAGTATCTAATCGTCACTACTTGAAAAGCCAATCTGACCAGACTTAGACGTGTATATCAACAACTGCACTACTCCCGGAACTTTCGCCCTGACCTTCGATGACGGCCCTTACAAGTACACCGACCAAGTCTTGGACGTTCTCAAGCAGAACAACATCAAGGCTACATTCTCCATCACTGGTACCAACCTTGGCAAGGGCCAGATTGATGATGAAACCACAGGCTGGCCCAAGATCCTGCGCAGGATGTACTCCGAAGGCCATCAGCTCGCCTCTCACAGCTGGTCGCACCAGGATCTGACTGCCTCAAGTGACGAGGTCCGTCAGCAGCAGATCATCTACAACGAGATGGCCTTCCGCAACATCTTCGGGTTCTTCCCCAAGTACCTCCGTCCTCCGTACGGTACCTGCAACCGAGTCTCCAGCTGCCTTGACTATGCGACCAAGCTTGGTTACCACGTTAGCAACTGGAACCTCGATACCAAGGATTTCGAGAACAACACTCCTGATAAGATCCAGACTAGCAAGAACACCTTCTCCAACAGTGTTTCTATTAATACCAAGGCCAATGCTTATATCGAACTCAGCCACGATATCCAGGAGCAAACCACCTACAACCTCACTGCTTTCATGATCAAGACCATCAAGGACAGGGGATACAAGGCCGTCCCCGTCGGAGAGTGTCTTGGAGATGCCCGTGAGAACTGGTATGTCACTGATCCTAACTTCAAGCCTTCAGTGCCTGTATCTAGTGCCACTCCTTGTAAGTACTTTCTCTGCACGATATCCTCCATCGAGATATGCTCCGATGTACCACAGAGTTTCTTTGAGCATGTGGTATCACTCGGCTGTTTCGGAGCTTTATCTTGAATCCAAACAGTTACAAGAAATCAAGTGCTGACATGTTCAACAGTTCCCTCTCCTACTGCCTCTACCGCTCCTACTACCAAGGACGGCTCATGCGGTGCTAAGAATGGCGGCACCAAGTGCACCGGATCCAAGTGGGGAGACTGCTGCTCTTACAACAGCTTCTGGTGAGTCTTCAATGCCAGCCCCTACCAGACAAACCACTAACCAACTATTTCTTCTACAGCGGCTCAACATCCGGATACTGTGACGGCGGTTGTCAGTCCGGCTTTGGAAAGTGCAACAAGTGGACTACTGGAAGTGCTCTCATTGTCTCGGCCAATGGCCTTTGCGGAGACAAGTATCACCAGACTTACAAGGGCTCTACATACGGAGACTGCTGCTCCAAGGGTGGAAACTGGTAAGTTCTTTCTATCACCCCGTTACTATCTTGATTCTAACGATGTATCTAGTGGTAAGACGAGCGCATACTGTGGCACTGGCTGCCAGAGTGGCTTCGGAACTTGCACCTCATCTAAGTGAGGTGTATGGGGTTTGAGGCAATCTCCGACAGAGCTGCAAACCAATATGCGGTAATGCATCTCGGTTCACATATATTCATGATGTAGACGTAGTTTAGACGAATAGGTATTTGATGGTTAATAAGTAATATTGTTGCAAGACCATACAGACGTTGAGCTCTTGTGGTTTTCTCTTTCAGTGCATTCTCATTCTCTCTGTGATATTTCCCCACGCTTTTTGACCTCATACAGAGTCAATCATTTAGTTCTGGCAGCCCAAGTTTCGGGACTCAGCGGCCCCTGGCCTTCTCTGCTAACAATACGGGTATGCAGCTGGGTTGCAAGTCAACAGGGCTCGATTTTAAGTCCAACTGCCCCAACACGGCCGAGCACAGTACTCGACCCGCGGTGACAAAAGCAACCATATGTCAGCCCCTGTCTATAGGTCCTGCGAAGCCTCTGCAAGCGTCCAAAATTATCAGCGAGCCACCAAATACTCAAGAAAAAAAAAAGTAAAAAAAAAATAGCACCAGTACTGGTCTAACTGGCCCAGGCATTTCAAATTAGATCTCGAGATGTCATCAAAAACTCCTCTTTATCGTCAACGCCGGGGTCTTTACTCCTATAAGGACTCGGCCGACGCCACCAGGTAACACAAGACATCTCGGCTACGTTCTTGTGATGGACTCGGCGCACAAACACTAGGATAGTCACTCTCACAGCGTGCCGGCCCTTGCAAATTCAGGCGCCGCGGATCTGGCCATCCACGCGGCAGAATGCATGTAGCCGCCGTATCTCACAAATTTGCATTCATAACAATGCCTTGTTATGTGCGATTAGTTTCCACGAATTTATAACACGGGTGTTTACAGGTCCACGGATGCTTGCAACTCCGAACATCTCCGGGCGTGAAAATGCGCAGCCAATAGCGGAATACCTTCACCTCTGCCTTCATCAACTTTGGGTCAGCTTGACTAAGTGACGTGGCGGACATTTGGAGGCTGCCTAGCTTTTACATGTGTCTGTATGTCTTAGCAACGTCCACGAAGATTTTCTCAGGCTCGACAGACTTGAGGTCTCTCAGCCGCAAGTGTCAGCCAACGGTCAGTCGCCTTGCACAACCGCCATGAATCTAGTCATGTTTGATCAACCGTTGTCTGTCAGCGTTTGAGGCGGCACTCTTCAAACCTAGCGTCGGCCGTTTGTACCATCGTGTCATATGTATGTTTCCATGAGTTGCGGTGGCCAAGCGCCTTTCTGCAATTTCTGAATTGTCTTCCAGTGTTTCGTATAGTGACGAATGAGAACCGCTCATGGAAACAGAGGTCTCCTTTGACATCAGGCTCTGGGGTCAACCAGCGTTCTCACAAGGTGATTGCATTGTTGATGCACCATTACTACTAACTCAATCAAGTTGCGACTGCATTGTCAACCCCTCGGAACTCAAACCAAGGGTAATGCAACCCAGCATTATAGAACAAAGGCGATCGTAATGCCCTCAGATCTTGCTTGGATCTTGATTCTTCCGCTATGCATCCGATACTTCTCGTGCCTGTGTCACACAACGTTCAAGCCTCAGCACTAGACCAACACCTCCTTACCAACACCAGAACCAACACTCACCAAGATATTATGACATTTACAACGGCCTTCGTAAGCTCGGGCCCGAGAAATGTCATAAAAAGCAGCAGCATCGTCCTCCACGCAGACAGATCTGTCGAATGCGTGGGGCCGTTGTGATCCAGAGTTCACCAGAAAACGTTATTTGCTTCGATGAACAAGGGCATGTACCCATTGTACAGTGTGCGAGGCGTCAATGGCCATGTCCACCAGGGGAATACCACATGGAAAACGTGCGTTAAAGAGGGCCCAAGCTCGGCGGCCCTGGTCAGTGAGTATTTCAAGACATGGCCAAGCTTGAGACGGGTAGCAGCATCTACTGTAGATCAAGTCGGAGCACAAGGCAAAATCGGCAACAAAAAAAACAAAAAAAAGAACATGTCGACAATGGTTGATAGGATTGCAAATGGTAATCTGTCAAACATCACGCGGCTAATTGCCGACCTGTTAATGTACACACTAGACTTTATCTCTCTACAATAAGAAAGTCGTCCTCTCGTACCAAGAATTAGAGACAGAAGAGTAACAAGATGAAAAGAACAGAACAAACGAATCAATCCCATGCGCGCAACCCCACGAAGGGTAGTAGTAATCTCACACAGCCCTCAACTTTGTAGGCTCCTTTCCCTAAACGCCCTGAACAATTCGTACTTTGTCATTAGCAATAATCCTTGAGAACCACCAACGACCGCATGACTTTGAGAAGTCACTTCGCTGTGAACCACTTTTGTTGATATGAACTCCGCCGCCGTTGTAGGCGTTGATGTTTCCGACAGATCCACCAGGTATGTTGATACTCATTGGTGATCGTCCATGGCGAGATGTCGCGCGTCCGCACCTATCTGGCCAGTTTCCTACATTACCGTCGAGGCTAGAAGACGTGTTTCGACATCGTCCATACCCATGCCATCCATGCGAGGTCCTTCCATCCCCTGGAGTCTTTGTTCGATAGCCTGGAAGCGTGGTTCGTAGCCGCCTCCAGCACGGGCTTCAAGACTGTCCATTCGTTTCTCGATGTTATCGAGGCGCTGTTCAATGCGCATTAGACCCTGGGCCATATCGTGGTTTAAGCGGTCGAGTTTATTAGTGAAGGATCGGATCGATGTAGCCAGCGGCGCGTTCTCCTGGCCAGGCGTGCCAGCGGGAACTCGCGGTTCATGGTTATGGCGTCCCTCTTGGATAGCAAAGCGCCATTGGTTTCCGAGCTGAACTTCGCAGACAGCTTTGGCGCGAAAGGGACAATCAATTTTGCGCGTCGAAGGGTTGCGCTTCTTGGCAGTGCTGTTGTACTTGACACCACCGCGGTCGCAAACGAGGTCGTAACGGGTGGGCTTTCCGTCGCGGTAGTTTGAAGCGCGCAGCTTGACAATTCCGTAGCCCTGGTCCTTCGCAACGCGCTGGACGGAAGCCATCAAATCTTCAAAGGTCCTAAATATCCCTTCTGGTGGGGGTAATAGCGCTGGAGGTGGTGTATTCGGCATGACGAGTGATTGAGCCAGGGTGGCGGTTGTGACGGGAAAGTTTAGATAAAGCGGGGAGGGCAATAAGTTTGCCCAAGAAAAAAAGGCTTCGGAGTGCTTTAAAAAGACTGGGTGCGAGGCGTAAAATGAGATCGCGAATAGACGAGAGATGCTGTTGGTTTTGCGCGATGTTGTAGTATACAGGCAGATATGCAAAAGGCTGGGTTCGACGTTCCCGCACTGTTCTAACTGTGATACAGGTATGGGCCTAACAAGGTTTAGTGTTGATCCGGTCCGGGCAGGCGGGCCATTCAGAGGCCAGACCTGCAGAAAGGCGGGGCCGTAGGTGACAGTAGGGTGCAATCTACGTACCTGATGGATGCTGCGAAGCGTTGTTTTGTACGTCAACAAGCACAAACCAGGGGAGGTAGCTTCGCGCAGAGCAAGGTGAGGTAAGGTACCTGACAGTATGAACGGAGAGAAGGGTGTGGAGGGGTCAAGTAACGTGCTGAGAGATTGAGATGGAGACTTTGTGTAGCTTCGCGGGTGCGACGATGGAAGAGAGAGATTATATTTACAGTAGCAAGAATGATTGCAGGCTTGCGATGAAAGAGATGTGTTTGCCGGAGGCACTGGGTCTTGATATAAATCAGGTTCTCGAGGTAGAAACGAGGAAACGGTTCGAAGGGGGTGTGAAGAAGCTTCAGGCTTGAGGCTTCAAAGCTGTTTGTATGGATGCCAAGCACGTGACGGACGGGCTGAATAGAGCGTTAGAGTTGGTGGTTGATACGGGTAGACGCAGCAGTGCGGGCTTCGACTTGTTTCATGAACATTGAGGTGTTTGTCTCTCTCTTAGAACTTGTTCCTTGATGACGGTGATACACTGACAATTCTCACGTCTAGACAAAGAACTGGGTGTATGTCACCTCTATCGACACGGTGCGGGCTTACTCTGACGGATTCAGTTCAGTTCAGTTCAGTTGCAGCTACAGTTGCAGTCCCATTATACGGGTCATCGGTTCCTGGTTCCTGGTTCCTGGTCCCTTGCTCGATCGAGACTCGTTCCCTCAAAACGGTTCGACTACCTTACCTTCAACTCCATGTGCCTACGGTCTCATTGAATTTGGGTGCACCAACGGGAATCTAAACGTCAAAGCTTCTTCCCTTCCCTCACGCTTGCCCCACGTCAAGCAAGGCAAAGACGATAAGACACAGTTCAGTTAACTTTTGTATGCATCCATCCAATCCATTCTTTACTTCTAGAATATTTCCCTGCGTCAACAAAGTTTACAGTGCAAGCACTGACCATTTTTGTTGGAGTTTTGTATCCATCTCGGAATAAAAATAGAGCCCTGTCCACTTTTGCCAGTCTGATCCTTTCCCCATTCTTCACGCAAGCCTCTCATTCGCTCGGCCACCTGCGATCTCGTATTGCTTCCTCAACACCATCAACTTCTGGATACCCTTGATACCCTATCTTTCACCGGTCTTCCTACCCCATTCGCAAACATGAGCCAGCAGCCTGCCGCTCACAATCAGGCTCAGGCGCCAAATGCAGCCGGGCAGGATGATTGGGATGAGGCGCGCCTCGAGGAAGCCATGAAACGGCTCAAGCTTCTGCACATCAAGGTAACGTCGCTTTCAACGTGAGAAAACGAGATGCAAACATGCTCATCAGGCTCTTGTTTCAGGTCCGACAGTTGAACGACACCATCCCCAAGATGATCAAGCCGCTTGTGCAAAAGCAACCTTCACGTAGGCTCCCTAGTCCACTCGTACTCTGAAACATCTTGGGCTGACCCATCATCTACGTATAGCCGATGTCATGTTTGCAGCCTTCATGAACTCAGTTAATGAAGCGCAAGCCAACATCAAGGAGGTTACCGACTTGATGCGCGATGAGAAAAGTCGTGAGATTTTTGTGCAGGCTAAGAAGAGAAAAGAGGAAGAGCCCACAGGTATCAAGACCTGGGAATATTATGACCACCCAGACTGGTTCAGAATGGATGAAGAATAACGAGATACATGGGACATATAGCATAGGCGTTCATGGACGGGTTTACTACATCATCGGGACATTAATGTGATAGGAGCAAGAGTGGTGCGGGGAACGCTTCCAGAGTTTTTTTTATTACTGAAAGACGGTAGATCAATATCATGAAGTTTTAGAACAAAGTACAGGACATTGTTATCCTCGGTCCATTGGATCGTAGATGCAAATGTTGCCGCCTCGCTTATTGGCGATACTTCGACAACGTGGATTGTGATGTTACTTCTTTGACGATAAGGCAGCCAGAAGCTCAGAAAAAGGGAACAAGATTTCGGGGAACTCCTAAGAGTTTATGATAAATCACAGTCAAAGTGTCCTGATTTGCGTAATTTGAGGAGGAGAGAGAAGTAGCCCCTTAAGTTTTAACATGACTGTTCCTTTATTTTCAGGGCAGGGACAGGTTGATCATCTTCGACTACACACCATGAGATCTGATCCAAGGCCGCGGGGTCCTTGGAAGCACGTTTCTCCCGTTTTGAGACTGGATTTCCTTCCTAGCTTTATATTAACTTTTAGTTCGCTAATGGCACCACACGGCTGACGATTCTTATGCCTACTTCAGCGTATTTGACAGGTCCTGAACCCCCTGCTTGAAGAACTCAGAATGTGGAAACACTCAATTTATATTCCCCATTGGCTTGGAAGTATGAACGCAAAATCAGTTGATTGAAGGCTCTCAAGAACCACCTAGAATGGATAAACCTCCGGCCAATGTAAATCGTTGCATGTGAATGACACCCAGTCTTATTTCATGCTTCTCAACCTCAGCTAAAGGCTCAACGAGCTCAGGAGAGGGAACTCAGAAGTATTGGTGATGAATATTGGTGGTCCATTCATCCTCCGTGGACTATCATTATTTCCAAATGGGTATTAGAACAAAGATATCATTTTATACTGAGAACCTATCGAGTTTCACATCGTGACTTATGATGAGGGGAACGTGGCAGCAGTTTCATTCAAGACTCAGAAATAAGCGAATTAAAACTCAGTATCTCTATATCGATATCATTTTTTGTATTTGGTAATACCTCAAAACGAAATTTCTATGCATCTGAATATAAGTAGTTGAGTTGGCCTTGAGATCGGTCGCGAGTAGATTGCCTCGGCCAGGCATGGAGGAAGGACAAGAATTGGCACCACATATATTAGTTCAGAATAAATTACAAATTAGAACAGCCAGTTTCCAAAGAGTCAATCCACGACTTATACTGAGTTTTTTAGTTCTCGGGCGTTTGCAAAAGCAAAGCCTGATTCACCATTTGGATGCATTCCACTGTTGTAAGCGCACCGTTTATCCATTGACTAACAACAAATGCTTTTCACTCAACTCAACCCGTTCTCCTGAGTTCGGGAAGCACAGAGGTATGCTCCGTTTCTGCGAAACTGACACAAATGCAGCATGTTGCTTGTCTCTATCCACAGCTCACGACCAACTAAATGAAGCAACCTAAAGGACCTATCTTTTGTATCCAAGTGGAACTTGCGGCTGGCGACACTGCAAGCCACTCGTGGCTGAGTCACGTGCTCATCACGCTAGCCCCACCACGAATTTTACACACCCACACAGAATTATCACAACTCGAGTGTTTTGCGAAATCTCCTCTCCTACTCTCGCGTCCAACGTCCAACACCAACTAACCCGAGCAGCTCAGTCAAATCACCAAGCCGCTACAATGGTTAACCACAGAGTCACCTACCGCCGCCGCAACGGGTGAGTTCTTTCCTACGAAGCTGTCGAGTTTTTTTCGATCTCGAAATATGTCGAGATCCTGGTTCTCGCCATACAGCCTTATACTTTCGACTCGGCCTTACGATCAGGAACTAACCATGCTCCCAGGTGGAATACATCTTCCAACATCACCCGCACCGTACGCACACCTGGTGGTGAGCTCCGCGTGCTGCACATCAAGAAGCGAGGCACCGTCCCCAAGTGTGGTGATTGCGGCTCCAAGCTCTCTGGCGTAAGTCGACCAAGACAAACGAGTCTTTCTGCAATGTGAGGGATGAGACAAGACGAGAACGACAAACGGATACTGGCTGGCATGCGAGGCAACAAGAGGCTGTAACATCAAGGCCAAGGGCTTCACATATCACGGGAGGAGGGAGATCTGGCATGACCCATTCGACCAACCGCTTCCTGTTTTGTCTCAACCCTCTGTCGCAAAGGATTATCGACCTACCATGGAATATCGGAACTAACCCAATCCTCCTATAGATTCCCGCTCTCCGACCCCGCGAGTACTCTCAGATCTCCAAGCCCCAGAAGACCGTCCAGCGCGCCTACGGTGGTTCCCGATGCGGTAACTGTGTCCGCGACCGTATCGTTCGAGCTTTCCTCATTGAGGAGCAGAAGATCGTCAAGAAGGTGCTCAAGGAGCAGGAGCAGAGCCAGAAGAAGAAATAAGTGCAATTTCCATTGCTGGGTTAGGCTTTGCGTGGGAAAGGCAAGGAACTCTGAGGACTCGGTTCATTGCTTTGGTGTTCATTAGGCAAAAAGGGACTGCATGATACATCGGGCCGGGGCCAAATGGTTGGCCGTCCGCCGTCTTAGGACTGCTACTATCCTCTTGGTGACTTGAATGAGAAAAGAACATCAAGCTGGCATGGACCGTGCTACTGTCTGCATAAGTGATGAAGTATTTTTGGTGTGGCGAAGGTGTCAAAAATCATGTCCATGAGAGTGAGATAAAAGTTATCGGCGCCAAATGGTTCAAATTACATCCACTTGGATTGTGAATATGCGTCTCGTTGATTTGTTATCGTTTGAACGGGTTCGCCATTTATGTAATATCAAACACGTAGACTGAATATGGCGAGGTGAAATCATGACGTGCTAAAATTATTTATCCCCCACTTACTTGGATGGTCTCTTCCACTTCCTACATCGAAACGAGAAATCTTTCCCTCCACCACAACCTTGTACCTTTGAAGCCCGCGATATTGTCACAATTTGCATTCCGTCATGGCATCACGAAGTCTTATCCGGCCATGCAGCGCACAACGAGCAGTGTGCCAAGCTCTCATCCAGACGCCGCGACCTAGATCCGCGACGACAGCTTTCAGAGCCGCCACCTCGACAGTCTCACCTCGTTCTCAAGCCTCTACATCAAGTCGTCGACTCTTCCACACCCTTCCGAGCCGGAGAAAGGACCGACAGCCACCAGCGCAACCTCCCCCAACCGACTTTGCCGAGCTCGACGTGCTCGGCAACACTCCAGCGCCTTCAACTTCGGTCGACGTGTGCATGTATGATGGTTTTGGGCTGAACAGCGGTGTTACTGTAACGGGCGGTAATGGCGTTTTGTTGATTGATGGCGAGGTGTTCAACTGGCGCCCGTGGGAGGCCAAGGGCTCAATGAGCCTTATCAACAAGAAGGGCCAGTTTGAGCTACCACCAAAGGCATTTGCGCTATTTGATCTACTATGGCCCCGACCTGGTATGTGTCCATTCTCGCCATTTATGTCATGGCATATTTGATTTCGTTGAGGAGAGTGCTCTTTGTTAATTGAGTTACAGATCTTCTGATCATTGGAGTCGGCCCATCTATTATGCCATTGGCACCCGAAACGAGACGACTTATATCGGAACTTGGTATGCGAATTGAAATCCTAGACACGAGAAATGCGGCTGCGCAGTTCAACTTGTTGGCCACAGAACGAGGCGTTTCGAACGTAGCAGCTGCTTTGATACCCATTGGATGGAAGGACGGGGTTGGAGCGGAATAAAAACAGTCGAATCGAGAGGCGCATTTCGAAAGTGTATTTTAATTGTAAGAGTATGAATGTGAGGGCAAAATGCTGCATATATTCGCCATCATGAAGCAGGGAAATGGCGAGGTCTCGAACTGACTATTTTGCTCACGTAAAGCACTTGGAATGGGATTAAGAAAACCCCCCTTTTTTTATATAATCGTATGTCTAATTCGGGAATATACATTCGCTATGTGCTGTGGTAACAGTCGAGGTCAGAGGCTTTTAATACTAAAGTATACAAGATGGGACGGAGGTTTATGTATACAACCAGAGCACTTGCATTCATTGTGCATGAATGTTCAAAGATCGACCCGGCTGTTTCTGTAGATAATATTGATATGTGGTTAAAATTTTGCAATATGCTTAGGATAGATGAGACAACAAATATTAGTGTGATAGATCGATAGTTTTACACCATTTCAAGCAACTGAATGATATGCATACGTAAATTGACAAACTAAAATAGATTGGTAGGTATTCTTGAAAGTGTCATGCTTGGAGCCCACTTGAATTTAATGATAGAAACCTTAAAAAGAATCATAATGAAAGCAGAAGCATTTCTTGGAGATTCTACACAAAAATTCCATCATCTGAATTCAGGGTAGGTTCCCTGTGCAACATGCCTCACTCCTGCACAAATAATTGGCTCCCCCAATGGCGATCTCATTCGCCCACAAGGTATGATGCAATTGTGTAATTGGTTGCTTCCCTGAACTTTGTCAATTACTCAAAACCAAATCTCCATTCTCATCATCAATATCAATCTAGCAAAGCTACACAACATCGAACTCAGCATCGAATTTTGACATTATTAGGTCACACTCGACGCAATTTTTATTCTTTGGCGCGCCCTGACCGCGGTTCGCGTGGGGCACATACCTAGGGTCGAAGAACTTCAAAAGCTTGGCTGGGCCTTGGATCGTTGACTACCTTATTCAAGTTCTTGTTGTCAACTGAGCTTCTCCATGAAACTGCAAGTCTCTCCGGCGTTGCACTATTGACATATTCCATGTCGATTGTATGAAGACGGCTGCGGTGGTCGGAGAAACACGCGAACTTGGTGTTACTCGTGTAATACCAATACCTTGTTGGTGACTCAACAACAGCTTCAATCTCTGATACAACTAAAAACAATCGACCTAACCTCAAACCCAATCAAGACTCAATTCCTCTTTTCTTATCCAATCTATAAAATCCGCAAAAAACTTATAACGCCTCCACCAATATCCTGGAGTATAACCCCCAAACGCACTTATGGCCTCTCCTGCAGCGACCGTCCAACAGGACGATGTTGACTCCACTGACCCTCACCTCACGGACCCGACCTTGCTGAGGGATCACTCAGAGTTCAAGTCCTATACAACAAGTCGTTTCGAATATTCTGGAATTCGAGTTTTCTACCGACAACATGCCAAGGCAGACCAACTACCCAAAAAACCTGCTCCATTACCACTATTGGTGTTTCTGCATGGCCTGGGCGGCTCTGTTGCCCAGTTTCATCCTCTGTTAAGTAGTCTGGTGGATGAGGCCCCTTGCATGGCAATCGACTACCCCGGTTGTGGCAGATCTGAGTTCTCGGTCACCGATTGGGAAGCCTACACGACGGATGCTCTGGTAGAGCTTTTGGAAACAATCATTGAGGACTACCGAGACAAGGACGCAGGCCAGCGAGTGGTCCTGATCGGCCATAGCATGGGGACAACTCTCGCTGCTAAGTTGGCCAACACGAAAGTCGAGCATACAACTTCGCTAGCCGAGTACGTGGTAGGGTTGGTGGCTATTTGCCCTGTGTCAAGCCCTCCTGATGAATCAAAGACATGGTGGTTTAGGAGGGCACTTTGGACTCCGGGATGGCTTTTTGATTTGTGGCGAGCCTGGGATGGCCGGGGAGGCCCCAACAGTGCCAGCGTCAGGCGCTTTGTTGGAAAGGATGCCGACGAGGCTACCCGGAAACTCCAATATCGCTTTAACAAACAGAGTCGAACCCCAGTCTGGAGACGTATGGCTAATGGCGCCCTGCCAATCTATCACAATGGCAGACCCAGAGGCGGTCTCCCGACCCTGGAGGTCTGGGCAGGATTAAATATCCCCGTCTTTTTGATAGGTGCTAAGGAGGACACTGTTGTTTCACCTGAGGAAGTCAAGAAGATTGCTAACGCATTGGACCCTGAGAAGACTCTGCCAGAGTCAGGGGCAGCAGAAGAGACACCTGATGCTGTCGTCGACGCTGCTGCCCCCGTAAGTACTTCCACAAGACTACAGGACCATGTGCCACAAGCCATTGAAGACCTCAATGATGATGACTTCACAAAGGTCAAGTCTCCTACGCTTCCTAGCTCAGAAGAGGACAGCCCCAATGATCCCTCAACCCCTCACGAGACTATGACTGAACTGCCCGCGCAACCGAACCACCCCAAAAAGGTGGTAAAGACCATCGTGATGCCGCCACCGGCAACACACGCTGTCCTATACACGCCCTGCTCAGTTCGTGCCGTCGCGGGTTTGATTTCCGATTTCCTTGCCACAAACGTTACTGGCAGACTTTCCCTGGCCTGGCAATTACAATACCTCTCCCGTGAGGGAAAATGGGACGTCAAGAACCTCAACAAATGGAAATCTGTCAACCCCGTATCCGAGCCGATCGGACCTGCTGGAAAACCTGTTTTCCGGGCACTCAAGACGCTTCGTGAAGCGGACGATGTCCACTGTCCACAGAATTTTGTTTCAAAATGGGGTTCTATTGTCAAAGATATCATTGATATTTCCAAAGACCAGCCTGTCTATGACCCTCGCGGCTTAGATCGAGCTGGAATCCATTATCACAAGTTCCCCACAGTTTCGAAGATACCTCCTCAGGCTCAGGAGGTTGAAGCTTTCATTAAATTAGTTGACGACCTCAGAGAAAAGCAGACTGCGCGCGCTACCGCTGAGAACTGGACCAATCCCGAGCAGTGTGTTATTGGAGTGCACTGCCATTACGGCTTTAACCGCACGGGATACTTTATCGTATGTTATCTCGTTGAGCGGTGCGGATTCGGCGTTAAGGAGGCTATCGACACATTTGCCAAAGCGAGGCCTAATGGGATCCGCCACTCGCACTTTCTGGATCGGTTGTATGTGCGATACAATGTTGACTCAGTTCCTCCCAGTCAGTCGTGATTGATCAAGGGAGAAAGGCGTTTGGTTAAGGGGTAACGACCACAAGCGAGGAGTATATTGGCTTGAAGCGTTGATTATGGGTCATGGTTTAATTAACAAGCAGGCGTCTGGTCGGTGGTCTCTGTTAGTAACTAGAGTATAGATAATGGACTATTCGATGTTTTGATTGTAGTTAAGCATTGTAGTAGGCGCTTAACAGGCATGATATTACACCCACTTTCTAGGCTCTGTATTGGAATGAAGTGGCCAATACATTTAGGCTCGGTACCACTGGTGTCATGCAGGGATGACTATGATGAATCTGACAATTTGATCTCATGAGAGTTGCAGGGAATATTTGTTGGGCGAGCATATCACCAGACAGCTGCTAAGAAGTTGCTGTGGTTGCATTGATTTGAAAACTCAAAAAGTTCAAATGTATCATAGGCAAGCTAATGAGTAAATCTAGATTGGGTATACCACTCTACATGTCTCGATTACAATCTCCCTACCCACCTCTTGCTAGACTCATATAAGTCGTATCATCATTCTATAAAACGCGGCACATCCATTAGACGGCAATAGCATGGTACTTGTTGCCAAGAGACCAAACTTCGTCGAGGGCTTCCATGCCAACGTCTTGGACATTAACCTTGCTCATCTTTTCCTTGAGTTCCGAGGTTATCGCATCAACATCAACCTCAAGATACTCCCGTAAATATTTGCCAACATCGGTGTTCTCAACATTGCCACGGATGTTCTCTGTTCGGGGGCCACCAGAGCTGTAGATGTTGACGTCGACGGCAGTGTGGCCGTGGGTACTCCAACCGACGTGAGCGCGTAGGGAGATGAGAGCTGAGAAGAGGACGAGCGCACTCTCAGGGTGATCAGCAATGGTGGTGATCTCCTTATCGGAGGCGTTGGAGATACCAAGACCGCGGATGATGAGTTCCTCGTTGATGTACTTCTTCAGCTTCTCCTTGTTCTTCTTGATGCTGGAATCGGAGGCGAGGTGTGTGTTGAGCTTGGCGTGAAGCCACTCAGCCGAGGCGGTAGCATTCGCAAGGGCTTTAGGGTACCAGTTGTAGACAGGGAGGTGACCAGGTTCCTGAATCGCAGTCGCGAGACCACCGGTTTCATGATCGCTGGTTGCGACAAGAACAGTTTCAGTCTTGCTCTCCTTGATGAAATCGAGAACAGCTTGGAATGTCTTGTCATACTCAAGAACCTCGTGGACCTGAGCTGCAGGATCGTTGATATGACCGGCATGGTCAATTCGACTACCCTCAATCATGATAAAGAAGCCCTTGTCACTCTTCTCAGTAGCCTTCTCAAGAGCACGAAGAGCAGTCTTGGCCATTTCGCTCAGCGAGGGGTAGACGTCGTTGTGGTTTCGGCGGTCAATCTCAAAGGGGATGTCAGTTGGGGCGAAGAGTCCGAGGAAAGGCAGCTTGACGTTATTGCCACCCTTGAGAGCATCAAAGCCAGCGCGGTTGTCGGTGTAGGTCCAGTTGTGCTTTTCCTTTGCAATCTTGACCACATCCGTGTCATCGGCTCGGCAGCTACCCTCTGTGCTGTTGGGCAGGAAGTTGCAGCGGCCACCACCAAGCATCAGATCAACAGTTCGGCCCAGGACGCCTTCTCCAATCTGTTGAAGGGCAATCTCATCCTCCATCTCGCGGAGAACCACGTGCGAGTTGAAGCAGGCTGGAGTCGCATCCTAGAGAATCTTGATCAGCTTCGTAATGACTTAGTTACCCTCGAATCATGCATACCTCAATCTTTGTTGTGACAACAAGTCCAGTGTGATATCCAGCACGTTTAGCAGCTTCTAGGACGGTTCCACAAGGATCGTGGTTAGGGAGTGTAGAGATAGCACCATTGTAGGTCTTCTTGCCACAGGAGAAGGCTGTAGCACCGGCAGCACTGTCTGTAACCAGGGAACTGCTGGAGCGAGTCCGGCTCGTGCCCCAGAAATGCTTATCGAGAGTGAGGGTATCGCCGAAGGGAAGCTCTTCCACGTGTTGTCGGAAGCTACGCGTCAAGGACAAAGGTGCAGGGCCCATGCCGTCTGACACCATGAAGACGAGGTTTCGCTTAGAGGCGGGCGTGTTGTGATCATGCTTGATTTGTTGCTCATGCTGAGTCCAAATAGCAACAACAATAACAGCAGCAGTGGCAATCAGAGCCCAGGCAAAGAGGCCGAGTTCACGTAGTCGCGAGTTCCGGGCGGCCTTATCGGCCTGAGCATTGGAGCGGCCGTCACCGGGGCTGGACAAGAGAGGATCGCATTCGTTGGCCTGAGGAGAAGACATTGTCAGCTAAAAAGGAAAACGTGGGATGACAAGAGAAGTCTCGGACTGAGGTAGAAGGAAAGAAGAGGAGAGACAAACCATTGTACGGTGTCTGGCCGCGTAAGAAGGAGGATGAGTGTTGTGCAAGGTGCAACAAGACAACAGAAAATGGTTGGATGGGCGATTATGACATTATGCGACACTACGAGTTGGAGCTATGCGGGGGTAGCTCCAGAGCTTGTTACAGGGGGCTACAGTTCCATTATCAGTGGACCGGGTGACATCAGTGGTTCACGTGGGTGGAGCGGGATGAAGGCCTATTGCTCACTGATAATCAGTATTTGGAGAAGATAACCAATGGTGAGATCTTATCTTGACCACGCGAGCATAACTCTAATGAAATCGAGATCATGGGGTTTTGTTTTTTTCTGGATGATCTTCGAATAAGCATTTGACTCTTCACGTGTGCTTACTTACCGGTAGTTGAACTCTAATAAGGAACTCTACTTTAACCTCTACTGACTCGCATTTTCACGGCACTCATTTTCACTTGTTGAGAAGTAGAGCCGGCTTCCGTACGGCTGTTTCAACAGGCTGTGACGGCTCGCGACGACCCGTCCAATATGATAACTCAAATTTCAAGCTTATTGGTATAAGCTTGAACCGAGCATGTACTTCCACCGAGTTCATTGCACTGTCAATCCATAGCAAGTTTAGGCTACATGCTATCGTTTTCCATATCTTCCTTCAGGAATGAAGTGCTCATGCCATAATGTTTCCTCCCGTTCGTGGATGGCCGAGCGGCCATACTAAACAGCCAACCGAACTGAGGGTCTCCTGGCCTAAAAGCCAAGTTCAAGTTGACATGTCAGATCCAATCGTCGCCGGAATAAGAATGACAGATTGGTATCACAGAGGGGTTTGTGGTTCGCCATTCAGGCGCGGAGCAACCAGCTGCACGTTGCTTTCGGCACGAGAAGACGGCTGTCAAACAGTTCGGAAAGTTGCTACACATGAGCCTGGTACTAACAATGATCCCCAGACGGAGTAGAAGCGCAACCCGTTTAAACAATCAGAAGGCTCGCAGCTGGTGTCTAAACCACGAACGACAAACTACCACTCTTCATCTCTACCGACAACCACAAAATGCTGACCATGATATGTCCTGAGACTCAAACGACTTGCCTCAAGCTAAGCTACCAGGACCATCCTTATGCTTCTCGTTCTCTGGGCTCGCTCATGCTACTCAACGGGCGCGCACAAAATACCAAGGCCCCCAGAACGAGAGTTCAATAGCCCACATGTGCGGTTACGTTTTATTCCTAAATCTTTGCGGATGTTATGGAGAGCTTCTTTTCGAAACATCCTGCCCCCAAGTATACGAAGAAATTCACCGGATCAATGATCCAGATGCCTGGACAACAGAGGGTCTGAACGAGCTCCCCTTTAATCTCCCCGATCATTGTGTTGCTGGCTGGCACAACACTCGAATAATTCTGACACATGGCGTTTGCTGCCCTGGATGGTGGTTCGAATGCCCTTCTATTTCGGTTCCTGGATACCCGTATTTTTACCACCCGGACAACAGACAAGTTTGAGAGAGAGAGCGTTTGTACGATAAAATGAAGTCGATTTAGAAGGACCAGCTCAAGCTGAAGATGGAGGACGTATTTCTATGAGTGCGGCGTACGGAAAAGGATGACAACTGCCAAAGTTGTCAGGAGTTGGTTGTATTCTGATATCTACACCCTTCGGTCTATCAATTAATTCATACGAATTTGATAATGTGCCTTGCAGGTACTGCCGTCTCTGGCTGAGGGACACTTTGAATCAAGAGTGGTAGCTTACGCATGCAGAGCCGGTATTAGAGCTCTTTCGTTTTGTATTACAACTTCTGAGGGGTATTGGTGTACCCCAAGGAACAGGATCGACTGGATTGGTCCTGTCCCTTCTCTGTTAAAGAACACTCAAGTCTGACCCGCTGCGCTCTGGTAACTCCGAGTACCTTGGGTAACGACTTGGAAAGGAGAGGATCCTCTGAAAGCCGATTCAATGATAGTCGAGGGGATGATGCTAGAATGAGAAAGGGGAATGTTGTGGTTGTGAAATACGACATTGGCCTCCTCGTACTATGTAATGTGAAGTGACATGACGTTAACTACGAAATGATATGTCAAAGTCGGGCTATTAATGGTTTTCTGCATTTGTTTGGAGAATCTTGATGTTAAGTAATTTATAAACTTCTATAATATTATTCAAAACCGAATAAAAAACATCTAAGTCTCTTATTATGTTTACAAGTTTAGAAGTGCCTAGCTTTAAATTTATAAGTTTACCTAACTTTAGTTGACTTTTTATAGAGTGCTCTATTGTTAGACTTCTAGCACCTCATTTTTGCATTTTGAAGCCAAGATCGTGACCTATTGATGTAGTGCTACTGGCCGCTTTCCGGAACCCTTGTATTTTTATAAATTGTGTTAAGAAATTTTTCGGTGGTCGTTGCGATCTCTGAAACAGTTGTCTCTGTAGACTATTGTTTCAACTCTCTTGGAGACTGATGATCAATCATTACAAGAATTGATAACGTGAGGTCGTACTTGACTTTGATTTATTCTGTGTCGTTCCATGCCGAGGCGGAAAAATGTGGATAAGAAGCTTGTTATGAAAGCTTGGCCTTGGAGTATGAGACTGCTCATCGGCGATTGGCGTGGAGAATCATTGTGAAAGACATCGTTGGGACGTCATGATGGACGACGGCATTCTTCGATGGACCAGGGACGGGTAATCGGCTTCAGTTCATCAGAGTCTGGACCTTTCGAACGCACTAATAAAGGTCGGATTATTTAACAGTGGCTGCGATATACGAGTTGAATGGTTGAATGCTCCATTGAGAAACAACCCCCTACTCCCCGAAACCGACCACTGAAATTGGTGCTGACGGGCTAAACTTCCCCTGCATCGCGACGCCGCAGCGCATGAGGAATCGAGCACCCTTGAATTTATTTTTATGCGAGTTCCAGTCTTAGGTAACTCGAACTGGATCTGATCCTTTTCATTCAATCTCAGCTGAGCTGATTGACTTTCTGCAGCTTTAAAAGTTAAGGTACTTTTACACACTCTTTCGACTGGCTGCAATATATATTGTACTTCTCGCCTCTGCCTCTCAGCAGGGCATCTTCCTATCCATGTCAACATCACGAGACTTCGCTGTCCCAGCGGAGCACGACAATACCACGCAGCCTCAGGACGATATAGAACGGAGCACTCGCCAAAGCCATTCATCCAACACCAACGTATCTGATGAGAAGGATCAACATGTCCGCTACAACCTCACCCTCAACACGCAGAACCTCTCCCCGCCCAAGGCTGAGCCTATGCGGCCAGTGCGTTCCGACACAGAGGTCCATCGCGAAATGACATTTTCGCCCTCGATATTGCGACGCCGAATGACTCGCGCTCCAACGTTCAAGACGGTGGAGGATTATGATGAGTTCGACACTGCCTTTGGCGATCGCCCTGGTTGGCAGCCTGGCTCCGAACCTGGCTATGACCCAAAGCTTCCCGATGGAGGTCATGCTTCGATGCCTGCACTTCAAGCGCCCTGTGAGATTTCTGTAATCGACTTTTCGCAAGAGAACATGGTTAAACGGCACTTCGATAATACGACTTTCATCGACTTCCTTGAACAGCCAAAAGAAGAATGGGCCAAATGCCGATGGATCAACGTCAATGGACTCAGTTGGGATGTTATTCAGGCAATTGGGAACAAGAAGGGTCTTCACAAGCTTGCTCTGGAGGATTTGATGCAGATTAGGAACCGAACGAAGGCTGATTGGTATCCAAATCACGCTTTTATCGTCATGACCCTGCAGAAGCTTGTCCACCTGGTTGACGATGAAGATGACACGACCAGTACAAGCAGCACATACTCTAGCAAGACGTTGGGTGCTTTGAGAGGATCAGTGAGGCAGCTTTGGAATACTCGCAGAGCAGCTGACCCCGAGAAGAACTTCGAGACCTCGTTACCACGGGATATTACAGCAGACCTGCAGGAGACTGGCATGATAAGGACATTGCAGCGGTATCACGCCTCTGGAAACGAGGCACGAACAGAATTCATGGAGAGTCATTCATCCCTTACGCCATATCAAATGGCTGTTTCGGCAGAGCAGGTCTCTATATTTCTAACATCAGATAACACCGTCATCTCCTTCTTCGAGGTTTCGGCGGGCGATATTGAGCGCCCCATTGTCACCCGTCTGAGCACCCCAGGCACTATTCTTCGCGAGTCCAATGACGCATCCCTGTTATGTCAGGGCATTATCGACGCCATCATCGACCTCGCCATTCCTTTGACGTCTATTTACACAGACATTATTGCTGATATTGAGCTAGATGTGCTCACCTCGCCGAGTATCAGTCAAAGCAAAAAGCTGTATATATGCATTAGTGAGATCAACAAAATGCTGAGCTTCCTAAACCCAATCGACAACCTAGTCAATGTTCTGCGGGATCACAAGACATATATGACCCACGACCAAGCCATGCAGGCACTGGAGAACCCTTCAACTGGCGTTATTGTAACTCCTATGACACACACATACCTAGGCGATGTGCTCGATCACTGTATTATGATAACTGAAGCTCTACAACAGCTCAAACAATCATCCGATAACCTTATCAACCTTATTTTCAACACTATATCAGCCCACCAGAATGAATCGATGAAGCAGCTCACCACTGTGACCATCATTTTCCTCCCTCTGACATTCATAACCGGATTTTTTGGGCAGAATTTTGCGGAAAAAGGGTTCCCCGAGATCCATCATGGCATTTGGTATTTGTAAGTGTTCATTTCATTCGATGTTCAGGGAGACGAGAAAACTTAGGACCTCTATCCTAAATGACAAAAAGACTTGAGGTAAAGTTAGGATAACTTAGTGTGCCTTTAGACTAGTTATTTTGGCACCTTGGTCTAAAGTCAGAAGTTTTCTTGCTCCCTGGGGCTTGTTTTCTTGAGCTGGGCTGTTTACAGCGCAACGCTTTCGAAGTGATGCACAATACTGACAACATTATAGCTGGGCCTGTGCCGTTCCAACTGTTGTAGCGACCATCTTGATTCTCATGAGAGAGATGATTTACAACTGGCTGGTGCGAGTCGTACAAAGAAGACATATCCTTACGCTTAGGAAGAAGAAGAAGAGGTCCAAGCAGCAAAAGATAAAGCTCAAGGTGTGACGGATACGCCGCCAGGGGGAGGTAAGAAAACTCAAGACCTCGATCCTAAGCGACAAAAAGGCTTAGGTAAATTTAGCATAAGCTTAGGAAGCTTTTTGATGAGTTTATTTTGGCACCCTGCTGTAAGGCCCGATATGCTTTCCCTCCCCAAGGGCCGCTTATGAGGTTGAATGGCTGGAACATTTGGATTAGTGATACCCAAGTATTGGGAAAGGAGTAGGCGTAATTCATTTATGAGTGGCATCGGACTTGAGTATAGTGTTCATGAACAACTTTACTAGTCACAGTGGCCCTGAAAACTACTGAAGCGTGTCAAAAGTCTGGGAACAAAGCGAGCAGTATACTAAAGTTACCTAAATTTATCAATATCATAAAAGAATATATATTCTGTACTAAATTCTTAGTATTTTATAGCACTTTGTATATTAATTTAAGAGTAGACTTGATAAAACCTACCTGTTAACACCACCCATATATCTTTACACTGCATTATGAGGAGGCCAACGTCGTATCTCACAGCCACAACATCCCCCTTTCTAATTCTAGCATCATCCCCTCCTCTGTAATCCGGTTGCTAAAGGTACTCTACTCGGAGTCACCAGAGCGCAGCGGATCAGAATCCAATGTTCCATCCGTTGTGATCATGTCGAGAGATGCTTCAGGTGCTGACATAACGAGGATCACCGTGCAAGCTTGGGCCCCCTGTAGCCTAGTGAAGTTACAGGCAGCAACCACCAACGCCCCAGTTGAGCTCCTGCCCAGGCCGTAGCTCATTCACGGTTAATCTGACTTGAGCAGTTGAACAAAGAAAAATGGCACATCTCTTTGCTTGAAAGACACATCACGCATCCGACCTCGATGGTTTTTTATCTTCCTTTTTCATCATTGTCGCAGCTTCGAGACGGCCTTCTTAATACATCGCTACTTTGCAACCGCCTAGCTTATAGCTAACGTTGGAGTAAACAAAACATCATGTCGCAGACTGACCAAGCCCAATATGAAGATGACATTCAATATGGCATCGTGGGCATGACCCGCGAAGAGCTGGAGGAAAAGTGAGTAATTCCAGATCCGTCAAGAATCCGATCCTCATACTGACCTTGCGCAAGATTTCCGAATCGCCCAAGGAATCACTCAAAGACGCTCATCTTCTCGGAACTGTTTCGAGAAGTCTTCAACCCCCTCAATGAGAATAAGAAGCAGAATGCCACTGGTGCAGGCCCTAGAAAGGGATTCCGTGGTGTGAATAAGCTTTCTCCTCATGAACAGCGTCGGCACATCATCGAGCGCTTCATCACTCGATGGCGCAAAGAAGTTGGCCCTGATTTCTATCCTGCTTTGCGCCTGATTCTGCCAGACAAAGACCGTGATCGTGGAGTTTATGGCCTCAAAGAAAACACGATTGGAAAGTTGCTCGTCAAACTTATGAAAATCGACAAAAACTCCGAAGATGGCTACAACCTGTTGCATTGGAAGCTACCAGGTCAGACGACAGCGTCGCGTCTAGCAGGTGACTTCGCAGGACGATGTTTCGAAGTCATCTCAAAGCGACCAATGCGCACCGATGTTGGAAATATGACCATTGCAGAAGTCAATGAGCAGCTCGACAAACTCGCTGCTTCAACAGGGGAGTCGGAGAATCTGCGCGTCTTTGAGACTTTCTACAATCGCATGAATTCAGAAGAGCTCATGTGGCTCATTCGGATCGTCCTCAAGCAGATGAAAGTCGGTGCTACGGAGAAGACCTTCCTTGACCTGTGGCATCCAGACGGAGATGCTCTATTCAGTGTGTCCTCCAGTTTAAGACGTGTTTGCTGGGAGTTGCACGACCCAGAAACCCGCCTGGAGCAGGGCGAAACTGGAGTTGCTTTAATGCAATGTTTCCAACCACAGCTCGCCCAATTTCAAATGCCTGCATCATTTCAAAAAATGATCGAGCTTCTTCGGCCGACCGAGGAAGATCCCGAATTCTGGATCGAGGAAAAGTTGGACGGTGAGCGTTTGCAAGTCCATATGGTCCAAGACAAGAGCCACCCAGGGGGCAAAAGGTTCTGTTTTTGGTCACGAAAAGCCAAAGACTACACTTATCTCTACGGTGATGGTCTTCAAGACGAGAACTCAAGTCTGACCAGACATTTGAAAAACGCATTTGCATCTGGAGTAAAGAACTTGATCCTGGATGGCGAAATGATCACCTGGGATATGGGTATCGACAAGATAGTGCCCTTTGGTACCCTCAAAACAGCTGCGCTTTCGGAACAGAAGAACAAGTCAGATACAGACTCAGCTGGCCACAGGCCCCTATTTCGCGTTTTTGATATCCTTTACCTGAACAACAAACCTTTAACCCAATATACCCTGCGGGATCGACATAGAGCCTTGGAAAAGGCTATTAAGCCTGTTCATCGCCGACTTGAGATTCACAGTTACAAGAGTGCAACGAGTGCCGACGCAATCGAACCTCTTCTCCGTGATGTTGTCGCCAATGCTTCTGAAGGCCTTGTGCTGAAGAACCCGCGATCTATGTACCGTCTCAACAGTCGAAACGATGACTGGCTCAAGGTCAAGCCTGAATACATGTCCGAGTTTGGCGAGTCCCTCGACTGTGTCATTATTGGTGGCTACTATGGTTCTGGGAAACGAGGTGGCATGCTATCAAGCTTCCTGTGTGGACTACGTGTTACGCAGAATCATATCCAAGCTGGCGCCAATCCCGAGAAATGCTTCAGTTTCTTCAAAGTTGGTGGCGGTTTCCGCGCAGAAGATTATGCGGAAATTCGGCACCAAACAGAAGGAAAATGGGTTGAGTGGGATCAGAAGAATCCGCCATCAGAGTACATCGAACTTGGAGGCGGAGAGCTTAGACAATACGAGCGACCAGATGTCTGGATCAGACCCAAAGACTCTGTTGTTGTTTCTGTGAAAGCAGCCAGTGTTGGACCTTCAGATCAATTCGCCCGAGGCTTCACATTAAGATTCCCACGATTCAGGCGACTTCGACTGGACCGGACCTGGGATACAGCCCTCTCCCTTGAAGAATTCAAGGAGTTGAAGGAGCGAGTTGATGAGGAGTCAAAAGAGAAGGCGATGACGGTTGAGGACAGGAAGCGGCGCAACCCCAAGCGAGTCAAGAGAGAGCTGACCATTGCTGGAGAGGACGCGATTGTAACTGAGTTCAAGGGAGAGACGACCAACCTTTTTGAAGGAATAGAATTCTGCGTGCTTTCTGAAGCGCTCCGGCCTTATAAAAAGACTAAGGCCCAGCTTGAAGTCATCATCAAGGAGAATGGCGGCACAGTCTCACAACGAGCCGTGCCAGGGACCAACATGGTTCTGATAAGCGACAAGAAGGTGGTAAAGGTAGCGAGCCTCATTAAAGGAGGGGCCGTTGACATTATCCGCCCTAAATGGCTTAGAGATTGCCTTGAACAGGAATTGGGGGCGTTTCTTTTGCCGTTTGAACCTTCACATCTGTTTTACGCTACTGATGCATTACACCGAGCAGCAGAAGACAACACAGACCAGTTTGGGGACAGCTACGCACGGGATCTTTCCATTGAAGAGCTCAAAGAGCTAATGCACGACATCCCTAAGATTGAGGACGGCACGCACTTTGACAAGAATGAGTTTTTCCAACAGCTTGAAGAACATGGGAAGGACTTGCAACGATTAAGGAGCTTTACCTTCAGACGTTGTGTGGTGCTGGTTCATGCCGTGGAAGCTGGCAACAACAAAATTTCGAGGCTAAAGCATCTTGTGAAGTACGGCGGGGGCAATGTTACAGATGACACCGATGATCTGTCTGTGACACATGTGGTGATCGAAGGCGACGACCCGATGCAGGTGGGCGAGGCGGCTGATATGGTACGAAAAGAACTGAGCTCAAGGCGCGTGCAGCCAAGATTGGTGACAGGGAAATGGATCGACGAGTGCTGGAAAGAGAGCACATTGCTTGACGAGGAGCAGTTTGTAATTCCTTGAGGAATATGGGGTACTTGTGATGTATACTATCTAACCTGTATGTTGATGCAATGAGAATACAACGCCCAAAAACCCATAAAAGTGCACTCATTTGCCAATAGTCAAGAACAGTCTGTCACCAACATCTCCCACACCAGGCTTTAGCATACCATCCTTGGTCAACTCTTTGTCCACTGCTGCGATCCAAACCTCGCATCCCTCAGGCCATTCGGCAGCGACTCTCTGAACACCCTCGCCAGCTCCAATAACGGCGAGAACAATGATTCTCTTTGCGCCCCATTCACGAAGCGTCTGGATGGCGGCGGCGCAGGTTCCGCCGGTTGCAATAACGGGATCGACCAAGATAGCAAGGCTACTAGCGTTGCTGCTCGAGGAGTCACCTGGGATTTGCTGAGGAAGATTATTGTAGTACTCGACTGGGTCAAGAGTTGACGGCTCACGATACATGCCCAGGTGATGAACTGGAACTGGGATAGGGAGCATGGTTTGTACAGCTGGAGATGTCAGTTTAGGCAATATGAGTGAAGTAGCGGCTGGACTAACCCTCAACCATGCCAAGACCTGATCGTAGAATGGGAACCAGACACATGGTACTTGGTTGCACTGTCGTGGAAGTGAATTGGAAGCCCAAAGGCGTCTCATCCTGTTCATGGTTAGTGAAGGTTTGAAGATGCCTATTATGCTTCATACCTGAGGTCCTTCCGTAGCTTCCAAAGACGAAGCAAGAGCCTCACAAGAAACAATCAGAGAGATCTCATGAATCAGTGATTTGACCTCTCTAGGACTGCTGGTCTTTGAGCGAAGCTGGCTCAGCTTTGCCCGTAGACACGGGTGCTGAGAGACATGGACGTTTGAAGGCAACGAAGACATTATGTGTTATGCACGGATTATTTCACAAATGTAAAGAATCTACGAGGAGACGATGAAGCATCACAAGATGAGATGCTGGGACGAAGCCAAGGAGAGAGAAGAAGGAGAAGAAAGAAAGAAACAGAAAGAAAAAAGGAGAAGGAGGGGGTTTTGTATTTGAGTGAGAGCAGTGTAAGGTATTTACCTGGAGACACGTTGAGCACTGTACCTGTACCTGTACCTGTACCTGTACCTGTACCTGTTTATCAGTTTGTTGGTACTACGTGAGATAATCCAATCGTCGTTCCAAGAGAGATCACAAGGACAATCAATGATAGTCGAGGCGGGCGGTAGCGTATGTCGGCGGGGTTAGAGCTTAAGCTACAGGGGAATGCTCGGAGGAGGGCGGGGTGCGATAAGATAAGACGGAGCTCACCGCTGTCAGTGATAGGAGCTACATTGAAACGCGGTGAGGACTCAACATTCAGATATTCGTGTTTGTTGTTAACAAATACTTGCTTGGGCATCAATTGAATCTTATTGGACAAGATACAAACCATCGGTCATGTTTTCTCTATCACCCGTGTCTTGTTATCTCCTTCTTATATATATATATACCCTTGCTCTCCTCTCAACTCAAAAGACCCCACAGCAGACGCCTCCACAATATGAGACCAAAACGCCAGTCATCCTTGTGGCAGTGCTCGGGATGTTTCTTTCGTTGTTTAATGCCGTCATATCCAACGAATCTAGCCACAAATTATACCATTAAACCTTAGACATCGTAATTTAACAACAACAAGAACTCCTTCTATTCAAATACAATGTTCCATTACCACCAACCGCGTCGTCTGAGCACATTGCGATCTTTGACTTGAAGCGACTGTTCGAATACCTCAACGAGAACGCGACAATCAAACCATGGCTGGCGATTCGGTCGATCAAAAGCGACAACCAAGTTCTGGAGAATACAATGCGCCAGACGATTATGCTGAGCTTGGCGACATAACTCAGCCACCGATTCAAAGGGAGGCCCTTGGCGAAACCACCAAAACAACAGCTCAATCGGCAACACGAGCAGAACGGTACGATTCTGGTACATACGACGCCCCACAAGATTACAGTAACCTCGATGAGACAGAACCTGTTCCTCCTCTACAAGAGCTCTCGCCACGTCCTACCCAGGGCCAACCCCGAGGACACGCCAACTTTGTCCGCTCTGATACCCCCGTCGAACCAGAGCCTATACCACAAGAGGCAGAGCAGAAGAAGACGTCAGAATTGCTCACAAGCCTTTATACACACTCGTATCTCGTTCTCTTTGCGATTATCGGAACATTAGCCCGTCTAGGATTGACTGCGTTAACTCGCTACACCAGCACTCCCGTGATCTTCAACACGATATGGGCCAATTTTAGTGGAAGTGTTGTCATGGGATTTCTCGCAGAAGATCGCAAGCTCTTCCGCAACGAGTGGGGAACTCCAACCTACGACGAAGCTATCAAGCGGGCCAAGCAAAAGCGAAAAGATGAAGGAGATAGATCTGGTTCGAGTCAGCAGATGGACGTGGATCTGGACGTGGATTTAGACGCGGCAAAGCGAGCGCATCTTGCGACCAAGAAGACGATTCCTCTCTATATCGGATTGGCAACGGGCTTCTGCGGGAGTTTCACGACGTTTTCGAGTTTCATCAAGGACGTATTCTTGGCTCTGTCTAATGAGTTGAAGACGCCTGGGTGGTCAGAATCGCCAACGAGTCGCAATGGGGGCTATTCCTTCATGGCAATGCTGGCCGTCATCATCACCACTGTGTCGTTATCACTTTCTGGCTTATTCCTAGGGGCTCACCTGGCTATTGGTCTCGAGCGCGTTACGCCATCGATTCCCTTCTCGTTGAGTCGACGGGTGCTTGATCCTTTGGGCGTGCTTCTTGGCTGGGGCTGCTGGCTTGGTGCAGTACTTCTCGCCATATTCCCACCACATAATGCCTGGCGTGGTCAAGCCCTCTTCGCGCTGATCTTTGGACCATTGGGCTGCCTACTACGCTTCTACCTGTCTCTCTACCTGAACGGAAAGATGAAAACATTTCCTCTGGGAACATTCACTGCCAATGTATTTGGCACCGTGATACTAGGCATGTCGTGGGATCTCGCGCATGTGCCGCTTGGCGGAGTCGTCGGTTGCCAGGTGTTGGAGGGCATAGAAGATGGTTTCTGTGGATGTTTGACGACTATTTCAACGTGGGTTGCTGAACTTAGCACTCTGAGACGGCGGAGTGCATGGATTTATGGCACGGCGAGTGTTGTGACGGCTCTAGTATTGATGATTGCTGTCATGGGCGGGTTGCGTTGGAGTGATGGATATAGCAAGCTGCTATGCACAGTATAGGGACGAATACACCTGGCTGAAGATACCGTTGGCCAATCTTTCAGAGATACAAGTTAGCGGGGCGAGCTTGTCCTGTGCGGGAGAAGCTAAATTATCGCTTTAGCGAGAAACAAGCTGAGGATCGATAGCCCCCGGAATCCTTACTACTATTCTTTCATGACCTTGATCTTGTACGATCCGGATGATGTGAAGGATTCTGAGGGCAACTCTGACAGCGAGTCTTAGAGTATCAACAACCCTTGGAGCCTTGTTGACGATAATGGGTTCCTTGAGGGTCGCACTCGCGACATTAACGTTGCTGTCAAGGGTCACGACAGATGGAATAATGAAAGGAGGCTCCCAATTCAAGAGCGTCTGTTCGGCAGTTGGTGGATATTCTTGGCTTGGCACTCTGCTCACCTCAGCCGCATCCTTGTTCTCGATCCTTAGCTTCGCAGCTTTGTCTCAGGCTAGACCAATGGCAAAGGCTAGAGAGGATCAACCCCTGCTACGGGATTCAGCCCTATACCTGGGTGGGCGCCACTTTGTTTTGTATTCGCAGCGGTAACCGATTACTATTGGGGGTCCTTGGGTCCTAATGGGCTGTGCTAGGTGTTGTTGGTCTGTTTTTAGATATGCATACAATATCTTGAGGCTGGGCAACCCTTGATAATAGAAGCCAGTCTATATTGTCTGTTCTTCCCATATTTTCTCGATCGTCTTCAGTAAACAGTAACTTGTTTCCTTCATGTCTCGATAAGAATTCATTCACTCCTTGCCTGTCCCAAGGAAAGAGAATCGCCGCTGCCATGTACTCTCATCAGGCTGGCGCCAACGCGCGCTACGAGCCTCAAGCCACAGACGATGCATCTTGGGACACCGATTCAGAGAAGTTCCCCTCCGGCAAGAAAAGGACCTTTTACCGCCCTACAGCTCTACGATGGTACTTTATCATAGGCCAGATAGCCTTTCTCATGGCTGTCATGGGACTAGTCATCTGGGCACTGGTAGAGATGCCCAACTCAGATGGAACAGCAAAGATCATCCATAAAAGAAGCAACAATGACAACCCCAATTTCCCACGAGACGATGCGGCAATGACTCCTGAGGTAGCAAGGCAAACAAGACTCGCAACGACCTACATCGTGAGCGACGTGTCTACTGTCGTTACTGTACCAGGTACCACAGGCAAATATACCACCACGATCGAGACCACAGAGTACAGTACGCACTGGGATCTTACCACGACAGTAAAGGATGGCACGACCATGACAAGCGTAGACTATACCGTGATCCCAACAAAGGTCGTCACCGAGGTTGTCACTACCAAGCCGGGAGAAGCAACAGAATCCGTCTTCACAAGTATCAGTGTGGGCTACTCAGTCGTCTATCCCTCAGGCTCTGACTCCGCTGCCCCTGGTACTATCAGCTATACCAATGCTATAACAGTTACCCAGGCTTATTCTCTTCCTGGTGCGGTAACCACATATACATCCACTCTGGAAGGCGACAGGACGGAGACTATCTACACTACTATCGTAGAGGATGGCGAGACAAAGACTTTGTCGCATGTCATCACTGAGGCGGCCCCTACTCAATACGAGAGTGTTGGAGAGACGACCGCATCAGCGAGTACCTATGTCTCATATGGTAAAATCACTATTACGTCTGTCTACACAGACCAGAAACCTATTGCAAAGCCAAAACCAACAGAAAAGGCGAAGCCCACCGTTATCGATGTCGTCACTGTCGATGACGACCACACAGTGAAGAAGGTTGAGAAGCTGGACCCGACAACTTATGTCACTAGGGTCAAGGACACAGAGACGGTCGAGGTTGTTGTTTCTCAGGAAGGCGAAACATTTGTCAGCGAGATCAAAGCTTTCGAAACCACAGTCGATGTCGTTGAGACTGGAGTTGATGGACTGCTCACAACTAACCAAGTCGTCTCAACTAAAGCCGCATCTTTAGCAACAATCATCAAGTCTGCTGCGCCTACGACAATCCTGTCGACCAAGTCAACCGACAAACTCAAGACGATAACGTCCGAACGAACAGATTCCTCGACGATAATTTCGACAATCAGGGGCAAAACGAGAACATACGAAAAGACCACGACAATCGCTCCCACCGCGACCGATGATGCATCAGAAGCTGGAGCAACTGGCGGAGTAGTCAAGACTGTGGTTACAGTATATGAGCTCGATGCTGGAAAGTACTTCCTGGGCAAATTTCTTCCTCCTATTCTTGCAGTTATGCTATCGATTCCTGCAAGAGTCATTGACTACAATGCCCAACTCTTCCAGCCCTTCCACGCCTTGAACCGGGTCGACGGTGCTATGGGGCCGGAGTCGATGAACCTTCACTTCGGCGGCTGGGCAGCAATTGTAGAGCCTTTCAATGGTCTTGTCGATGGTCATCCTGTGCCTTTCATCACGATGCTTATCGTTTTGTTCTCTGCGCTTCTGACGCCTCTGGCAGTCGAAGCTGTTGGTTTCAAGATGCACGGTCAGTGCAAGATTAACGCCTATGAGGGTTGTGCTCCAGCCCTAGGTGTCTCATCGTTATCTTCCCGAATTCTTCTCGCAGTTCTAGGCTTAATGATTCTACTACTGTGCGGCTTGCTATTCTTCCTTCGAAACTTCCACACTGGGCTGTACGCAAACCCCTGGAGTGTTGCAGGAGTTGCATCACTGGCCTCGAACAGAGATATCAGACCGCAGCAAGATTCCGAACGTAGAATCGAAAAAGAGATGGCAGAGAAGCGATACGGCTTTGGCTTCTTTGAGAGCCGCGCAGGTCAAACAGAGTATGGCATTGTTCTCTACGACGACGCGGGAGAGAACCTTCAGCATAATCATCCACTTTCAGAGTCGAGTTCTGTGGGCGCGCAGGCAGTCAGCAAGGGGCGAAGAAATCCATTCGTCGTGCTCGGACTCGCGTGGCGTTTAGTGTTTTTGCTGTTCCTGCTTGGGTTGATGGTATTCCTGCTTTACTACCACCTCACGCTTGACAAGTCATCATCATTCAAGAACTTCATGAACAGCCAGACTTTTGGTGTTAGGTTCTTGTTTGCCGCTTTCGGAGTTATCATATCCTTCAGTTGGACTGCATTCTTTATCAGTAAGTTCTCACCGACACACTCTGTTTGAGCTGAAGCTAATTTAATAAGCTATCGCTATGGTTGTGCCATATCAAGTCATGTCGCATGGCCCTCAGTCAGCATCCAACTCGGTTCTGCTCACACGCCCAACAAACCCTTTCTCAGGCTTCTGGTCTGCCGTCAAGCATGGACAAATCTTTCCTGGCCTAGTAGCTCTAATGGCCATCTTTTCCGAGTTCATGCCGATCCTTCTCGCCAACATCCCTTACTCGCTGTCGCAAGTGCGCGTCTCACACGATATCTGTGCACGACTTTCTGTTGGCATTTTGGCTCTGATGGCAATAGCCATTCTTCTCAGCTTCATCGTCCGCTGGCCTGATATGCCAGTTGATCCTCGTTCCATCGCTGGAGCCATGTACTACGTGAGCGAGAGCAATATGGTAGATCACTTCAGTGGCATGGCGGACATGGATGGGGAGGAGCGTAAGCGGCGTATTCGAGAATTGGGAGGAACATACTTATATGGAGAGCTAACGACACGAACGGGTGAGAAGAGACCTGCTGTGGAGTGGGATGATCATACGCTGGGCGTTGATCCTTTGATGTCACAGCGGAGGAAAGATAATATCCAAGTCAGGCATGACAGCATTGATACAGGATATTATGGGCATCGATCATGATTTATGAAGTCATTATGAATTGGGAGTGCATACAATACACGGATTTGGGTTGGGAAAATGGAATGGCAACTTGGGTATTATAGGGAGCATTCTGGAGTTTCTTTAAGCAACAAAAACGCATTTCATTTTTGGACTTCTTCAACGCGAAGGTGATAGGTTAACTTTTCTGTCAGAGACTTGCAAGCCCTTGACCTTCGCCTATTCTTCCTCCAACTCAGGGTAATGTCGCCAGATTCCCTCCGAGTACTTCTTGCGCCTGTCACTCCGAAGATATTTGCTAATGTTAGGCCTCTCCTTAACAGCGTCGTATAACTTGAAAACGCCGTCGTATTCACCAGACTTCTTCAACGCCTCGGTAGACTTAGGGAAGGCAAACTTGGTGCCATCAACAGCCTGGTGGTTGGTCAGCAGCTTGAAGAAGAACTTGATGGTCATTGTGTAAGTGTCACTTGCCTGGAAAAGGACGAGGTCTGCATAGGTCAAGCTGTCGCCATATAGCCATGGCCCCTCACCACTGGTTTTGGCGTCAAGCACTCGCTGCATGTATTTGAAATACTTGGGGAGGCGCTCCTTGATGAAATACTTGGACTTTTTCTTGGACTCCTCCTTCTGGTCCTCGTAGTAGAGACTAATGGCGATAGGATGATGAGTATCATGGAGTTCATTGACAAGACCATCGAGAATCGTCAAAACAATCTCATTGAGATGATACACGCCGTTTCCTTCTCTAGGCGCCAGACCAACCCTTGGAGCGACGTATAGAAGAATGTTGGGTGTCTGAGAAATGAGCAGGTCGCCGTGCTTGAGAGCTGGGGGAGCTAGAGCAGGTGGGTTGTGCTCGTCGCCAACGTTGTCTGTAGAAGTAAGACTCTTGACTGCGTTCATGCCCTTCTCTATGTTCTGTGCAACGTCTGAGTATGGGACACCAGCTTCTTCGAGCACAAGGCGAACGAATTCGCCGCGACCGGGAATAACTGGCCAGTAGATGAGCACATAGGGAGCATCGTCATCGGTTTTGACACGCTTGGGATCTGGTTGAGACATGGTGGTGATGTTCTAATTTAGGGGTTGATGTGAGAGTTGAAATGATGAAAGTGAGGAGAATTGGAATTCTTAAATAAATGATATTACATAAATAAATACGACGGTCTTGGTAGGAAGGAAGCTCACTTCAGCTCACCTGCGTCGGAGCGGGATGCGGGATCGGATGCGGAGGAGTGGGGCTCTTCCTTTGCGAGCCAGCCTCTCAATGCAAACCATAACCAACCCTTTGTGTCAAGATGATGTAAGTATTGATTTTATATGCATTGTTATTAACAGTCGCGCATAATTGGAGCTATACATCGTTTTTGGCTCCTTCACTGACACTCAAGTCTCCTCATGACAAACTCGGCCGAGAATAGGTACGTAGGATCCGGAGCTGAATCCGGACGGCACGGCACGGACGGGTGGGGATGAATGGAATAGGCGGGGTCGGAGCTCAACATGAGATCATGTACAAAACGTCAGTAGTTTGATGTCACTCTTTGGTTCACATGTCGTATGATGCCAAGTATCTATTTACCCATTCGTTGAGCTATCGTACTCCTTCATCGCACTGAATTACTTGGTCTCGTGTTACTGGTGTTGAGGGGAAAAGCCGGGAATAAATACTTGTTCTGTCTTCACAATCGATAACTCCATTGCTACATGGACAAAATCTCCGATTTCTTGGCATGGAGAGGGCTTGAGGTTTAATACAATCAAGCTTTGCCCTTGCAATTTGACTTTTAGCTAGTGAAAATTCTCGTGGCCATGGAATGTGTAATGGCTAGAATTGTATGATCTCGTCTTGTCTTCTCATGCTTTCACAGACACACGAGGATGCCATTCAACTTGGCGGTGGGGAGCAACAGTTGGGCAAAACGAAAAATGTTTACACTTAATCATATCGTGCTAAATATAGCCAAGTTCTGTTTGAATCCTTTTTTGGTACCTAGACCTTTATCCATAGTGCCCGTTCCTGCTTCGTAAAGCGTATCCAAATCCCACCCAAGTTTCAATAACGCCATTATATGTCAAATTATCATGCCTCGTCAATTTGTAGGCCAAGATCTAGGTTGTGGTCTCGGTGGCCATGTGTCCATCTCGAGTGACGACGCTCCACTATCTGAGCTCTTTTGTCGTCTAGCATCGTTGTAGCCCCCTTCAATATCGATATGGTCGTCTTGTATCCTAACTCCCTTGGAGTTTCGTTGTAAACTATCGGTCCAGTTTCGGGAGTTCTTCTTGGGGCTGGTGACGGTGGTGACGACACCTGGACCTGTGCCGGGTGGGTAGGCGTGAGAGTTCGTCTTGTTGTAGTAGCTGCTGCTCTTGGATCGGAACATGCTTCGAAATAGGGGTCGAAGTGCTGGTACACTGCCGCAGATAACTCCAAGGTTGGCCTCTACGGCAGTCCAAATCCAGAGGTGGAAGCCCTCCCAGGTGACATCGTAGGTTTCATCGGTAACATAGTGGGTGTAGTACGCGCGCATAGAGGCCGCAAAGACAACGACTAGACCGAGAGAGAAGACGACAATGAGGGCGACTCGTTGCGAGAGAGGTAGTTTTAAGTGGAAGAGTGTTTGTAAAGGAAGGGCGCAGACAAGGAGATCAGTGATGACAGTGGTAATGGCTTGGCTCCTACAGACATTGTTAGTGATGATCAGGGGTGATTCAAAATAGTGACTTACAGTACACTAGGCCCTTCAGGACGGCAACTGTCACCCCCATCCAGCTTCCAGTATGCGGAGGTTGGATTGCATTGTGTCCAAAGAACAATAAGAAAAATGAAGATGAGGGAAGTGACAAGAATCAGTGAGGCATAAGTCAAACGTCGAAGCCAGGATTTGGCCGGGGCAATACGGAGATACGAGACGAGGATAGAGTTCTTTGCCAGGCCCGAGGAAAATAGAAAGAGTGTCTGAGCAGCAAGTGAAACCTTTCGACCATTTTCCGCCTGAGACTTCTTCAGATCCCAGACATGGATATTCCAGCCGTAGAGCTGAGCTGCAAGAATTACACAGACAGTAACACCAATACCAAACACCTGAAAGTCCCACAAGTCAGCATTGGGGATGATCATCGTGGGTTGCACATGCAGCCGAGGTTGGGAGGGATATTTACCATAGCAGCCAGCATAAGCCAGTCATCGAGTCCATGCTTGTTGACTTTGAATATGCGGACGTACAGACGGGCCATGAGAGTCAAAATGGCAACAGACATGATAGTGACCTCGACAATGAGCAGTGTAGGCCCACGATGAACGGGGTTGTCATGGTTTGGCGGGGGCCATGAGGCCACCACCTCTGGAGGTGGATTGCGCATATTGTCACTGAGATCGTGAAATCAAATCCACGAGACGATCAAGAAGAGAGAGGCCCGCGGCAGCGGGTGCCAGAAGAAGAGGGAGCATGATTATAACTACTCTAGTGAGCTGATAGCAGAGATGGTTCGCCGTTCGCCTCCGCGTCGACCCGCCTCCACGCACGGAACCGTAAAGGGCAACTTGACACCCTTGAGATCCTCGTCGTTAAGCCCAAGAACCCAAGCCAAGACCCAAGAGTGGATTATACCGTACCTTACCTTGCTTGCGAGCTTACGGCCTCGCGTGACGGCGGGTTCCTGGTGATGGCTAAAATGGCTTACAGAAGGGAATGGGTGGTCGAATGCAAGAGCTAGGGGACCCTAGTTTAGCGGGTTGAAGAGAAAAAATCTCCAGAACAAGGGATCACTGAGACACAGGCACTAAGAAATGGAAATGGCGTCCGGGCTTCGGGGGAAACCCACGGATTTTGACATTCAGTTACCGACTCTGGACCAAGCTGCCGGGGCTAACGTTGGGGCCGGGGGGGGGGGGGGGGGGGGGCCTTAGGCTATTCGAGGTTTGGCTTCCGGGCGGAGCAGATCCACAGAGCAGCCGAGGCTTTTTACCTCAAGAGTCGATTGTCATTGAACGATCAGAGCCTGGGATGTCACAGCCGAGCAACAGGTCGGCAGGGCAGGGCCAGGGCTTTGAACCAACGGGCACTGGAAACCACACTTGTTTCGCAGCTGGCTCAACAGGTTTAGTTCAGGTCGGTCCGTTTTTTACGCTGGGTCTTGAAATCATTGGTTATCGATTTGACAACTGTTGACATATAACACAGATCTTATCAGAAAATTTTGTTGTTGCTTTTTATGGTCGGGTAGTTGTAGATCCAACGTCTATCGGGGAACTAACCAGCAACCTCAGCTATCAATCAATCTGCATGTCATGTCATGCATTCACACTTCAGAACATACTTTGATGCCATGTGGTTGTTCGGTCACTCGGGCACAAGCCTTATAACCTATTCAACGCCACGAGTACCTAATTATGAGAAAGAAAAATACACATTAGGCAGGTGGTCTCACATACAGGAGGTTCCAGAGCGCTGTTAACGCCACCGCATGTCAAACTCGATCACCTACCTACCTTACTGTCCTTCTCTGCAGGGTCAAGACTCAAGTCATCGGATGTCAAGGATGCAGCTGCCAGGGGTAAAACGTGAGAATTCTTCCTTTCTTGGTATTTGTCAATTATTCGCTCGGGTCAACGCCGCACTTGTGATCTCCAACGTGGCCTTGCTGACCACAGAACCAATTAAATGCAAATGCTGACCTCTTCAATCGAGTATACAGTGCTGATTACGAGAATATCCCACATGGGAGATTCACCCATCAATAGCTTACGGTGATGGTCTGAGGAACTTTTATAGAGCATACTATGTGTAACTCAAGGTTTCTAACTATCGATGCCGAAATTGACGTTTACGTCAAAACAGGTCAGTGCGACGCAAAATAATCTAGCTTGATCTAGAAGTTCATCTTGAAACGAGAACGTCTCTGAATAGGGTTCAAGTAGATATATCCGCTCGGTCCGCGTTTCTCATAACGGCTAGGTGAGTCCCGCCAGCTTGGACCTAATAAGCAAATTGGTAAATGATGAAATGAAGATCGATTCAGATAAGACATCTAGTTTTATGGTGATGAACACTTCTACTATGTAGTAATTCAAGACGATTCAGGTAATGTGGCATGAGAACTCCCGTAAAGGGTAGATCGTCATCTTGATCCGCCGTCTTGTTTAATTGAGTGACATACCACTACCAAAACTACCAAGAAAAGGCTTCATCTAAGAGCACATAGGCGCGGCATAAGGCGTTGCTCCTCACAATCTCAACAATGTCCCTACGCACCTCATCAGCCATACCAGGAGGTCCACACATGACAATCGCCAGCGCACCATCATCTTGCGCCTCAATCAGTTCTTGGGTCAAGATGCCCCTAAGATCCAAACGCTCCCCCACAACCGTTTCGACCTGCACACTCCTAGGCAGATCAGCAAGAGCAGGTGTTAGGGCTGTGATAAGGCCTTTCTTGCGGCTCGACCAGAAAAGCTTCGTGTTGCCCGGAGCACCTTGTCGAAGATATGGGAGACAGGCTGTAATGCCAACGCCTCCCGCAATACACAAAATGCCTTTGCAGTGCGAGAGTTGAGGTGAAATATGGCCGGAATGATGGTAAGGTCCTTCTATCATCACCCGAAGTTGAAGTGCTTGACACTGCTGGCCAGATACTCGCGATGCAAGTTTCTTGGTCATGCCCGTTCGGACCCGAGCATAGAAGACGGTAGACCTCCCCTCAGTTGCGCTAACAACTGAAGTGTTCTGGTCGATATTAACAGCCTTTTCAGCATCTGTCTCAGAACTAGGTGAGACTGTCACACTTTCCTCTTTGGCACCAGTTGTCGATGGCTGATGGCTGTTCTCACTAGTTAATGAGCCAGAATGTGCCACAGAAAAGGGATGAGTCTCCCAGAAACGCCACGAAAGTGTAGGAAAAGCAAGATACGCAACACCACCCTCCAGAGGCTTCCCATCAATCTCAATTCGGATATACTCTCCGTCAACATCTGAAATGGTCGAGATGGTTGCCTTTCGACTACCTTGCCAAGCCATGCGAACTAGTCGAACGACATGTTCCAGACCCCAAATACCTCCCACCACGAATGCAAAGATCTCGTAGCCCCAATTGTACTCATAAAGATACCAGATATGGTAGTAGTATCCAATGATGAAGAGAAGAGCTAAGATTATGTGCGATCCAAGAAAGAACTCGTACATCTTCTGCCGGACTGGCAGCAGGGAGCAGGGCAATATCGCACACACTGCCACTGTTCCTACAATACCCCAAATCCAGTACTCACGTATCAGTTCTTCTTCGTAGGTGCCTTGGATGACATAGTTGGCTAGAAGCATGGCAGAATGAACGATCGTATGGAAGATGGCCCAGTATCCAAGCCATCGATGCAGAAGAAGATATGTACTGTGACTCCAGTCCGTGACATAGAGAAGAATATTGTTGCGAGCTGAAAAGAGGAACAAAGCCACAACGTTTCCCATTGCCATGTCACCTGCGCGGTTGCCCACGATGCTGATTGTCTGCATCTTGAGGGAGGCAAAGCTAGCTTGAGGTTGATGGATTGTATATGGTCCAAGCCAGAGTAAGATGTTGAGAATGCTGATTAGCGAGATGTAGAGTGCTTGTCCACTATTGGGAACATGGCCAGCGACGGTTGGTTCACGATGTCGCTTACCGAACGCCGCCGGGATGACCAGAAATGATTGCCAGTATGTCCATCCTCGACTCTTAGTCAGGCTGGGTATGAACCTTAACAATGAGAGGACGACTGGGAGGAAGATGGCCACGAGAGTAATGGTGATGGTCATCGTTGTATGACCAGCCTCGTTGGTCTCGAAGTCATAGAGATAGTTATACTGGAGTTGCCAATCCTCAGGGCCGATGAAGCTGGTCTCATTGAGAGGATCTGTTCCGCCAGCGGTGATGGGTAAAGGACTTGAGACGTTGAAGGTTATAAGCCCCTCGTGTGAAGAGGTATCGTGACCACCATGGCGTCGGAAAATAGTAGTTCTCTTATGATGGCTACCGCTCTTGTGACCGGACGTCGAACTTGCGTTATGGGAGGCCATCGATTCGTCTTCCCTGGCGGCACTCAAAGCATCTTCATACGGCATAACAGGAACATATTCATAGTTTCCAATAGTTCCCGTTCCAAGATGCGATGCCCAATAGTCTTCAATGAGGCTCATAGAAGGATTTCCCGCAAGAGGACAATATGTGTCTATGCAAAGAGCCATAGTCTTAAGAAATACATGATCTTCCACAAAACAATCGGGTGGTGTCGTGACGGGATTATGGGCTGTACCATGATTCTCGGCCGATTCGGTGGGAGTACAGGAGAGTTGTTGTTTTCGGATAACTTGTCGACAGGCAAAGGAGCATGTTGGGTTATACATAGTCTTTCCCCAGCCGATAAGGCCTGTGCCATCGGCTTGGACGCCAATGGCACATAGTGTTAGGAGGGCTGATACAGCCACTCGCTTTGATTGAGCCATGGCTTTTGGGAGGTGATCTTACATTTTAGGTACACAGAGGTGGGCATCAGAAATCTTTAAATCTTTGCGAGCAGAGATTCGTTGGGGTGTTAACACGCCACAGTGAGCAAGTTTTGTCTTGGCCAGGGGACTATTTTGCTCAATTGGAAGTGGAAAAGAGCAAATGATCTAGTTCTTGGTTCTCTATCTAAACTGCCTGGGATAACTAGGATGCCCAGGGTCCAAGACATGAAGAACAGCAAGGTCAGAATGAAACGAGCCTTGATGAAAGAGGAGTTCTTTCGTATACTTGAGAGTGATTATACTCTCGACCTGAAGATTGTCGATCTTGAAAGAGATCGACAATGTCTATGTTGATGGTCTCTGTTTCTGCATGTTGTAGCGATAAGCATAAAATTAACTCGGATTTAAGGCCACCCACCCGCTCGTTAGCTAACAAATGCATGCTCCTTTAAGCGTAAGTGTCTGTCATCAACGGCCTGATAGGCTCGTTTATGGCGGTTGAGACCGTTGAGCTGGGAATGCCTGTGGTCTTGGCACGGAATGAGCACGTTTGAGAAGGTTTCCCAATCTGGAGCATATCCTTTAACCTGGTGGTGATTGGATCTTGTCTTGGAGAAACTCCTTCAAAAAGAGCATCTTATGGAATTATTTCTCCGGTCACCGCTTTTGTCTTGTTTAAATCATCTTACCAGCGGGTCTGATTTGGAGCTCCCGAATGGTTGTTTATGTGGCCCAGTAAATCATCGAGATACAAAGAAAGTCTCGATTTGAAAAAGATTGAAACCACATGTCAGACAAGTCTTCAGTTCGATGTCATGTTTGGTCACGGTCATACATAACTCTCTATCGACATATATGCCCGACTTGAGCGTGCCTTCATACCATAATTTGGTTTTGACATTGATGTCCAGACATCACATAACACCCAGCACGTAAACACTCGAGAGAATTTCTTATGCGCATTCTACTAGACTACTTCTTTCTAAAGTTCACTAAGAGTGACTACAGGTCGGAAGAAAGGATGTTTTCATTGATTATCATGGTATCATGGACTCTGTCACCTGACTGTACAACCAGTAGAGAATAGCTACCCTCGAGGCGAGGATGAAGTTCGATCGACACTTCTGTTATACAAAAGTTTGCTGACATTTCGGAAAGGAGTGTCAAGTTTCATTACATTATTGATAATGTTTAGTTACCAGGAAGAAAGCCGATAAGAACTGCGAGTCGCCCATTTGATGTTTAACATGAACTATCCAGCCGGCTAGGATAGCATTAGATCGAAGGTGAGTATTCCATACAGTGGGACCCCATCACAGCAATGCATCATAGCCATTTTTCGTTTGACATGCGCACTATCGTCTCAGCCTTCTCCCGCAGGGTTGTCGTCCGTACTTATAGGCGAATCCAGAGCCGTGTCTCTTTTCGGCCGAAGAAGATAACACCAGTGATATATATCTGGATCATTCGGCAACATTTTTTGCGTCAAGACTTTGGCAAGGACTTCAACGTCAAACGGAAAGTCATCCAGGTCAAATCGATAGGCCGAATAGCTGAACGAAATCCAAACACCGCCGCCCGCGAGACAGCCCTTGATACCAGCAGCCATCCGCCGCAGCGCCATCTCACCACCACATGAAATCGCATCAACCGTGCTCTTGTCAACAATAAGATCAAACTTCTCGCACAGATCTAGTTGTGTAGCGTCTTGCACATCATATCGCATTTGAACATCTCCAAAAGCTTGCTCTTCGAGATCGCGACCCCTATCAATGGCGAGTGGTTCATAGTCGACGTTGAGAATGTCGCGGAACCCCCGTGACCGGAAATGATTCTGCAGGTCGCTTGTCCCGAAGCCGATGTGGAGGATGCGGGCCGTTGCCGGGTCGAGCCGATCGAGAACGGGCTTTACCAGCGGCATGAAATCAGCCGACGGAAGAAGCCATTCGAAGGCTTTTTCGGACGAAAAGCGCTTGTGCCAGTAGCTCTGTTTCTCGAAATCGGAGGCCATTACAAAGGCTAAGGCGCTGTGTGTGGTTTGGAAGATGCTTGGTGAGGTCGGTATGGGTGGGATCTGTGGTGCGGGTGCCATGGCTTTTAACGTAGTATTTTTTGTTTAGTAGAGCCGCTTAGCTGAGGTATCGATAGAGGTCAGCAAGGTCCTTGTTCTACAGTATCATGACAATGTGGTTTTTTGCACAAATCCTGGTTGTTGGTTCGCTATCTGGGCCCACAGAACTGGGACTGTTGGCAGTGATAGATGGGGCGACCTAGAAGGAGTTGGAAGCTTCATATTGATATTTTTCGGTGAGAAAGATGGATGCTACAATGACAAGTTATTGATGAGAGAGTGGCACTGCTTGCCGCTATCGTCATGGTAGTTAGCATTATTGTCGAGACCTCTTCGAGAATAAGACCATAAGGAGGGAGTTAATAAATTATCCAGCTGTATTGTGTATACGTATCATGAAGCGTGCGTCAAAGAAGGGGCAGTCTCCCATGTGAGATTGTATAATTGGATATACCTGATGCTCAGGAATATATCACCAAGTTGAGTGGCATTTCATTAGCATTATTGTAGCGTGACTCGGGCCCAGTCTAGAATAATAGAAAGAAAATAGAAACAGGGGTCCATTGTCTCCGAATAAATAAACGTCAATTGCCGACTTTTGAAAGGACCCTTGATCATCTTTATTCAAGGTCGTGTGCCTCTCAAAGGCAGATGACGTAGTCACGCCAACGTTTTAATGGAGTATTTACAGGGTGTTCCCTAGCCACCCCGTCCCCTATTAATACCAACAACCAATGGCGGTCTTTTCCAGCCACATTCTAGAGCGAGGCGCTGTTTCAGCTCCGCCCCGGAATGCCGCGTCAACACCAAGGAATTGAATTCAAGCCAAGAGAAGTCGTGAAGCGGCGGCTTACGAGGCGCCTACTGCCAAATGTCAATCGATGGAGGGGAACTTGGCTCAATAAAATTTCTTCTTTAACAAACACCGTCTGACTCTATTCGCTTTTCATTGCTTCAAAGTCATTTCTTTCGTTTATTGACTTTGCGATTCGAGTAAACAATAACGGTCAGCAATTAAACTACACTTCTACCTTCACACTACATACAGTCAGTCACAATTAGGTTCTCACCCGTAGACCCGATTCGATAGAGAACCTCTCAAACGGTCAGAGGATTCACCATGGCTCCGCACCCAGATCCTTCATCGCTGGCTTTTGAATATGCAGCTGAAAACACCATCAACACCCTGACCAGACGCGATCTCCAGAGCCCAACTCACACACAGCAAGTCACACTGGGCATCATCGGCGTCTATGTTGTGGTTATCGCTATCCTATGGAACGTTCCCTACGTCCGCATGGTCCTCTGGCCCTTCAAGGCATGTCCCCTAATATCAAGTAATCACCAATTCAACTACTAACATGTGCAGATGCTGGTCATCGCCTTTCACGAGTTTGGCCACGCCTTTACAGCTCTCCTCACAGGTGGTCGCGTCAAGTCAATCACTCTTGATCCGAACGAAGGCGGCGTAACACATTTCAGAGGCGGCAAACAAGGCTTGGTACTACCCGCTGGCTATCTCGGCTCTTCTATTATCGGCGCACTACTCATCTTCTGTGGATTCAATATCGTTGCTAGCAAAGTCGCTAGTATCGTGCTCGGCGTTTGCTTCCTACTAACACTCTGGTGGGGAAAGCGTGATTGGCTTACCATCGCGACTGTTCTTCTCGCCGTTGGACTCCTCATCGCTTGCTGGTTCATCTCACACGCCCAAGCCCTACGTTTCGTCGTCCTATTCATTGGCGTTATGTCTTCGTTGTACAGCGTGTGGGATATTTGCGACGATTTGATTCTGCGTAAAGTCAACGAGTCCGACTCGAGCGTTTTCGCAAAGCGATATGGCGGTTCATCGCAGTGCTGGGGTGTCATCTGGGCTATCATTTCGGTCCTTTTCATGGCTGCCGGCATTGTCGCCGGTTTGGCAGCGTTTTCGCAGTCCTTTGCGCAACAGGAGAAGGACTCCCAGAAGTTCATCCCTACCTAAGGCACAAGATTAGCAATGTTTGTTTGAGGAAATGACCAAAATTTCATGTTTGTTGGCTGTTTACACATGGATGGCGTGGAATCGTCTGAAGATTGTAGCTAGTGTAGACCCTTGGGCACGTCTCGTTATGATAACGAAAATGGTTTGGATGGTCAGGTGGTGGTTTGAGCACAACTACGTGTTACAAATGCCCAGCGTATAGTAGCGAGTTTACATTGATACCCCATGGAAGCCGATTCTTCCTCGCTAGAGTAATATTCAAATACAACTACGTCACAAAGGCTATTCAGACCAGTTTTGGAAATGTTTGCAAGGCTAAGGGGTATGTTGTGGAAATACACTCGACAAACATGAGGTATCTCGCGAAAAACAAAACTCTGAGGATATGCCCCTATTCAAATACAGTCGGTCCTTTCACGACCTGTTTAAGCCTGAGGGGCCTCTTGTGGAACCGTTGTGACTGTAGCAAAGCCATTCTCTAGCCTCATGAAACAAGACTGCTGGTATGTATTAGCAATCAACTGCGACGACACAGTTGGTAGTAACTCAACCAGGTCAAGTCCATAAATACTGTTTACTCCTCAGTCGTATTCTAGTCGATTTATAACTTATTCACTGCACAGCTATACAACCTGAAAAGATGTCTGAGAGCCACTCTTGTATCAGTACCTCTATCGGTCGACCAACCCAGCGGGAAGACTTCTCGCATGAAACTGCCACCGTGAGCCTCGCAGGTGGGAGCTACTTCTTCAGTGGCCCTACAAGAAGTTACGGGTGAGTCAACAGGCTAATAGTATCATGGTCACTGACACATGAATAAGACAAGTTCATAAAGGAATGGTAGATCAACCGAAACTTGACTTTGATCACCGAAAGGGGCTCTTCAAGACCTCGTACATAATTCTTGGTCCCGATCCACACTTCTTCCGCTGTAATCGCTATGCCCAGGGGCGGATTGCCGCACAAAGCAAGTGATATCCGTGTGTTATATTTGACTTGACTGACCACCAAGGGCAGGCTGTTCTGATCTTGAGGACTATGGAGAAATCGCAGATCTTTATGGCGAGCATGATGTTGAACGTCCCGCATTCCTATACCTCGGTCCCAACAAGACTTTCTACACTCGTGTAGACGACGGGACCGAGAAGTGGGAACTTCCCCCTGAGATAGTAAGTCAAGGCTTACAAGTGACATCTGACGCCGTTCGATCTGCGGTAGATAGTCTCTGGCTTGGTGTTGGAGACGCTTGGGTTGCGCAGTACAGGGACTCCCGCTTCAGATTCGACCTTAAGGGTCAATATACCACTTTGGAGCCCGTTCTGCGTCAGAAACAGGATCAAGAGGTCTCTATCAATGCGCTGGCATTGAACGTGGCTGACGGAAAGTCTTGTGTCTGTGTCTTCAACGATGGAGATGTAGTGTATGAGACTGGGTCGGCAAAGTTTGATGGAAAAGAGTTTGAGGCTTGGTGTGAGCAGAATTTTAGATTTACTCAAAGACTGAGATTCGATTAGGCCAAATAGAAGAGAATTGCTCGCTGTATATTCAGATGTGATGTCTCGAGACGTAGTAGAATGAAACGTGAGGCAAGACCAGTAATTGTTAATTAAGCCGTATGTAAACATATGTACCAGTTAATGAGATATTATCTACCTTTGGATTAATAGTTGCCTAAATGCTAGATGATCAATGGATGTGTCTGATATGGCCCTGTATTTTAGATCTTCATCAACATCCAGAACACCCTCGAACAGGGCTCCTTTTCGTCACTTATAATGAGTACGCAGACTGACGTACTCATCAAGGTTTGCAGGACACGTTGTTCTTGGCCATGGCAATGACTTGGGTCAGCAACGGAAACTTGCCAATCCGTCTTCCAGCTTCATTTTTTGTCAGATTCACTCGTCATTTGAACATCGCAATTCGAGTTTCTTTTGTTTTTATGAATATTTAGCAGAATAATATAAATACATAATAATGAATTATACATATAGACATTAGTAAGGAACAGAAATCACTGCCCAATTTGCCATGGCTGCCTCAAGGCTTATTATAAAAAGGCTATGATATATCTTCATCCTATGTGAAATAAACCCCTGCTTCTCAAATGAGAGCCGGCATTATTATCGTGGAAGCTATATTTGTCTCCTGGAGGAAGTAGTCCTATTATCTGTTTATCAATATCGCTTTCTGATGATCAATCCTTTCATCTCACGCATAGGTCTTACTTGGGCTGACTGAGGAGCAACAAGCTGCTTACCCAGTGGATAAGCACAGGCAATTGTTACATAGAGCAATTCAGTGATAAAAGATACAACAAGCTGAACGAGTCAAGCCTTCGACAAACTGTTCACAACGCAACACTGAAAACATTGTCCACTACCCGAACTATCTTCCAACTCGCCTCCCAGCCAACTTGGTTTGAGAACATCGCTCTCAGACCCAGCGGAACTATCTTGGCAACTCGCCTTGACGTCCCCGAGGTCTGGGAGATTGATCCCGAGAAATCATCCGGTTCTAAGATACTACGCATCGCCCTTCCAGATAGCATCCCTCACCAGGCGCTCACGGGCATCTGTTGTCTCAAACCTGATGTCTTCGCAGTGGCTGCGGGCTCATTTGACATTATCGGAGGTGCCAAGCCCAAGCCTGGATCATGGAGTATTTGGCTCGCAGATCTTGCTGGTGAACAGCCAAAGGTGACGAAGATAGCTGATATGCCTGAAATTGGCATGATCAACGGTATAGCTACGTGGGATGGAAACACCGCCCTGGTTACAGATTGCCTCTACGGCAAAGTATACAAGCTCAGTATTGCGACAGGATCATACAACGTTGCCCTGGAAGACGACACCTTTGCAATCCCAGCCGATGCTCCTTTCCAAGTTGGCCTTAATGGTATCAAAGTCCATCGCTTCGGAGAGCAAACTTACGTCTATTATACGACGACAAGCCGTTTCTGTGTATATCGTGTACCCGTTACGCAAGAAGTCCAGGCTGCAGGCTCCGTGGAAATACTTGCGCCAGGACTTGTCGCGGATGATTTCGCCGTAGCTCACGATGGTACCATGTACGTGTGCACCAACATTTCCAACACGGTGGTTCGAATTCCCGCTACTGGCGGAGAGGCTACGGTAGTGGCGGGCGAAGCAAAGGCGTTGGACGTTGCGGGCTCAACAGCATGTGTGTTTGGTCAAGATGAGAGAGTTCTGTACGTTACGACTTGTGGAGCAAATGCAGTGCCTGTGGACGGGAAGACGGAGCCAGCAAAGATTGTTGAAGTGAAGCTTATCTAGGCAAGAAAACTAAAGCCGTCTATGCTAATTGACAAAAAGACTTAGGTAGCTTTAGTATAGTTTCAGTGGAATTTAGACTAGTTATTTCTGGCATCTTACCTTGAGGTCAGAAATTTTCTTGCTCCTTGAGGCGTGGGTATAATTTGCATATACAGAGACAAGTTCAAGAGACGTGTATTCAAGCCTACACTCGAGTGATAACTCGTCCTTCTGAGTAGCTCGTGAAGTGGGCCAATCTATCATGATCCCATGCCTATCGGCAACATGCCCCAACGCCAGGTTCTCCCATTAACAAATCGACAAAGCCCATCAGTAATGATTTGTGGAAATTCACAAGGTGCGGCTTCAAAGAGGAGCCGACTACCACCTCCCACGACGCCCGCGACCTCCAAATCCACCTCGGCCTCCGCCTCCGCCCCCGCCCCCTGACATATTTTGATCATATCCAAAACCACCTTGGTTACCACCAAAACCACCACCAAAGTTACCCCCTTGGCCGCCCTGTGCGCCTTGTGCACCAGCTCCTCCAGCATTTTGCATACCAGAAAACATGGCATTCATCTGACTGGGATCCATTTGGCTTGGGTCCATACCTGAGGCCATCATCTGCTGCATCATGGCTTGCATTTCAGGAGGCATACCGTCCATTCCACCAGGCATTCCCCCTTGCTGAGCACCCGAGTTGCCACCTCCTGGCATACCCATACCGCCCATCATCATCATGTTGAAGTCTTCCATCATCTTTTTGTTATTCTGGGCAAAGACATCGGCTCCGAATTCTCCTCGAACAGCCTCCTGCTTGGAAGCGTAAAGCGCCCATGTAAACTCATCGAAGCCGTAGTTGAAGTAGTCGCTGATATCGGTACCGGGTTTCCGCCATGGCTTGTCACTGTCTGGGAGGTCTTGAGGTATTCATGTTAGTGTTTGCGCGACAAGAATTGGTAGTGTTATTAACCTTCATCAATGTTGACCTGGGTAATAGGCTTCCCTGTCCCAGGGTGAATCGGGTTTGCGTTCACGTCGATCGTTGATTTAGATGCCGCAGCAGAAGTCTTATCGGCGCTCGGCGCAGCAACGTTAACTGATGGTCGTGATTCGGAGTCCTTCCGTGTCGGCGCAGGTTGCGTTGGCACATCACTTGAAGCTGTTCTTTGGGGAATGTTTCGAATGTCACTGTATTTGGACTGTCTGAAGTTGGAAAGACCGGTTAGTAACCTCAAGAACCGGCGCATGGGAGCATTCCGTACTGTGGTGGAGCTGGCTTTGTGCCATCTTTGCGCTCTGTGATGATGTCGATGTCCTATGAATTTTTGTTAGTTGGTGTGTATCAGATGTGTCGCAGATCGCATACCGAGTCGTCATCATCAGAGTCATCGTCCTCATCCATAGCTGCACCCTCATCCTCTTCTTCGCCTTCTTCTAGATCATCTGCTTTGGGCTTCTTATCCTCTGGAGCTGCGCTCTCGGCCTTGGGCTCATCTGGCACGTAGAGATCATCATCCTCGTCGATATCCATGTTTGCGATTCTGGCAATGAGAAATTGACAAGTGTAAAATTAAGTATTGTGACTAGAATTGGTCAATATCGAGACTTGATATGTAAGTACAAAGACGTCGAGCTCAAGCTCACAATAAAGCAGCCATTGGTTGCTCGGCGCCGCATTTCTCCGGAAGCCGACTCACCACAGCTCCAGGCGTACTCACCGAGGCTCACCGATGGCCAAAATGGTCCAAGCGCCATCTTCTCCAAGAAGCTTGGAGACTTTTTTGTCGTGTCACGGCGTCAAAACACGGGCAGATCGCGTAAAATTAACTTTGTAGCCACTGTCGCATTCAATCACAGGGCTTTGTTTTCGCCCTTAGTATGTCATTGATCCGATCAGCAAGCGGCCCAGCAGGTGGTTTGAGCATCAACACCGGTGCTGCTAACGCCTTGTAAGCTCCACACTCTAACAAAACAATCATTCACCATCATATCTCCACTCAACCTAACCCAGCCCGTTAACTTCATCTCGTCTGCCCGAGCTTCTCACAACCTCGTCGACCTCTCCTTACTAACCGGCGCACTCTATTCCATAGCGGAACTGCCGCTTCTAAACCCTCTGCTGCTGGTAGTCTCTTCGGTTCTTCTACCACCTCTACTCCCACCGCCAACACAACAACAGCGCCAGGCGCAACAGGCACCATGTCTCTCTTTGGCAACGCTGCGCAAAAGCCTGCGACAGGCAATCTTTTCGGACAATCAACGGCAGCGACAACAACTACGCCCGCAGCTGGCGGTGGTCTCTTTGGCGCTGCCGGCGCTACAAACACTCAACAGACGCAGAGCACAGGTACTGGGCTCTTTGGCAATGCTGCCACCAACACCCAACAACAAGGTCAGCAGCAGACTGGAACTGGTCTATTTGGTCAGAAGCCACAAATTTCAGGAGCTCACTGGGGACCTTCAGGAAACACAGCGCAGTCTACAACGACCGGCACCGGCCTCTTTGGGCAATCAACCCAAAATCAAACTCAGCAGCCTCAACAAACAGGCACAGGTCTATTCGGCCAATCTGCAGCGACAAATACACAGAGCAACACAGGAGGACTTTTCGGCCAATCCCAAGCGAAGCCCGCTACAGGTACTGGTCTGTTGTAAGTTACTTGAAGCTCCTTGTCATGGCATTCACTAAGTTTCAGCAGTGGTCAAACACAACCTCAGCAGAACAACACCCTAGGTCAATCCACAAGCCAAGTTTCAGCCGTTCAAATCAACTATGACAGCATCCGTCCACGGACCCGTTTCGATGACCTCGCTAAGCCCGTACAAGATGAAATTGCGTTGCTGGACAAGGGTATTCAACGAGTTATCAAGATGCGAGACGAGATTGGCGAGTTCATGCCCCAGCACGAGAAGGATATCGAGCAGCTGGGCCTGGATGTAAAGTTTGTCGAGTCAAAGTTCCGAACCGTTCAAGTTGCCCTCAACAACGATATTCAGACCGTCAAGGCTCTCCAGGATCAAACCCGAAAGAACGCCGCTGATGCCCGACTATGCTTCCGAGGCGCCGATAACCTCAAACTCCCGACACACTATCATCAAACAGGTCTTTTCGCCAGTCAGGCTCCAGCTGCTGATTCCAGTGGCGCAGATGCTGCGTCGACACATGCAGATGCGCAAGATCTGATCACCTACTTCAACCGTATTTGTGACGATATTGAAAAGTACAAGGCTCGCCTCGATGAGTACCGCGGTGATATTGAGCGAGATATGCCTGGTGTTGAGAACGGCCTTTATGAGCAAATCCGAGCTCTACGCGACCGTAGCGCAGGCAGCATAGTCGTCCAGGATCAACTGAATGAGGTGTTATTGGCGCTCAGAGATACAGGAAGTGCGATTGTTGCTCAGGCTGGACAGATTGCCGACACTCGAGAACGGCTATCGCGCCTCCAGGCTGGTATTGTGGACAGTGGAGTTTACGCCATGGGCATGAATGCTTAGAAGTCGACGGTATAGCTGATAAGGAGAGGGACGAGCTGGGGTAATATCAATCTGTTGGGCATCGCAAGAGTCCATTTCTTGTTGGAAGACAAAGGGCCATAGAAGCATTGTTTGGGCGAAGCGCAAGGTACGGTGTGAGAACTGGAGCAGGAGATTTTAGTGAGGGTACAACCTTACGACATGTATGAGTATTACTTGACAAAAGAAAAATCTGCCAAACCATTGGATATCGGGGAGGGAGGGCTAAAGAACATCTTGGATATACCCAAAATCTCATGACCAGGGCCATGCTTTGAGCTGAATGCAAGACCAACATCGCGAGGTTGATCCAAATATGTCAAGTTCATTCATTATCTGCCACGACCACGAAGATCGCGGGCTTGGGTATCAAACCAATGCTGTGCCGTGATATATATACAAATGATCGCTGCGCCCTCTCCAAAATACTCTTTTTTGTTATCCTTGTGAAAGCATTTGGCGACCAACTAGTAAGTCCCTTCTCCATCGCCGCCTTCATCGCCATAGTCGTCAAACTCGTCACCACCATCAAAGTAATTCTCAGCGTCATAATCACCCGCATCTTCGTCGTCGTAAACTTCATCCTGCTCTTCCTCTTCCATGCCTTCTTCGTCCTCAAGATCGCCAGCTTCGTCGCCCTCTTCTTCCTTGAGCGCCTGTAAGCGTTCAAGGAGATTACGGCCCTGCATCTCGTCTTCACCATCGCCTCCCATGCCAAAAGCTTCCTCTGCGCTAGGAAGTGCGCTCACGCTGCTGAGCTCCAACTTTCGGCGCTTGAAACCACCTGGGAGGCCACTGTCGTTGGCGGAGGCAGCGTCGATGGTTTCGTAGAGCTCCGTGGGGAAGAGCTCGCGACATACTGGACGGTTAGACCAATCTGGAAGAGCACGTTCCTCACGAACGAACTTGTGGGAGTAGGTCGGCACGGCGGTAAAGGGGTCTAAAGAGGCCTTGCTCTTGACGCCGAAGCGGGCATTCTTCTGTGCCTGACCGTAGTGTTTGCGGGGTGCTGTTGGATCATTGAGGGCTGTGCGCTTGGATGTGTATAGAGGAGAGGCATGGACTTGATGCCGTAGTAGAAGATAGTGTTGTACGGCTGCTTTTTCGTGCGAGGCGAGTTCTCGGGGAGTTGGGACGAGGTATGGCTGTTTGTAAGTCAGCGATGTGTCACACTGAGTCACAATTCTTGCGCCTTGAGATAGAGAGAGCACAGAAGACAAGAACATACGGGAAATAGCTCAGAGGGTCGCGCATCAGGTTCGTCACCTGTGTCCCAGGGCACATTAGGCCTTCCACCTCTTCCACCGCCGCGTCCACCACGACCACCTCCTCGGCCACCTCGAGACATTGGGATGCGCGCGTCGAATGTGGTAATTCTATTGAGGTTCAAAGCCGATTCGAAGGCCGAGGGTCTATTTAGGTGCCGGGTCGAGTAAGGCTGATTGTGATTGTAGCTATAGAGGTGATGTTACTATTCGCGATCGAGGTTTGACGCAGAATGATTTTTTGCGGGGTGTAAGTTAAGTTCTGAATGCGCCGGACAGAAAAAAGAGAGGGCGGAATTTACTCCGCCATGGCGATGCCCCGCTGAGCAGACGATGTAGTTGATGAATATGACCGCATTTTATTCTATAGAGGCGACGACGTTGGAAGGTGAAAACCAGGGGAATTTGCGGTAGAATTGAATGTTTGTGTATCTGCAGTCACAGAAATTCTAGACGCATCTCGCAACGGCCAATACGTTATGTGATGTTCCCTTCAGGCTCCCTAGACTACGTACCCCTCCGTGAACTTGCAGCTTACATCCACTGTAATCACCTACACGAACATTTAACTACAACCACAATCAACACTTTGCCCTGTGTATTCATCGAGATCGTCTAAGCGCATCATGTCTGAGCGAGTCGTGCCCCAGAACAGCGACGGCGCTCCTGTCACTGGCCTGGCAGAATTACTGGCCCATCTTACTGAACTTCATGAGCCAGGAAATGAATCGGCACCACTGAATAACAAGCTCTTTGACGATGTTGAGCTTCAACTCACACGTAAATAACCATCGAGCACTGAGAAATTCGAGATGCTGACTGGCTACAGCTTCAAACATCCCTATCATTCAGCCGACTCTACTCCCTCCTCTCATGTCTCTCCTAAAGACCACCACTCAAGATCCTACAAGCCTCAGCGTCGTCTTCTCTCTAACCACCAAGCTTCTTTCTCCCTTCTCATTCACACAGTGTCTTTCACTTGGTGGTGCCGAATCTCTTATTTCTGCTCTCCAATCACCGCTTCCTGGCGCAAATTTACTCGCTCTCAACATCATTCAGAAGGCCGCCAGCAGTCCTGCAGAAGTTGATTCCTTGGCTTCGTTACCCGAGGTCGTCCAGGAGCTCCTTCGGATATGGCTGAGCTCTCCGGATGCAGATGTCGGTGGACGATCTACCAGAGTTCTGGGCAGTTTGCTAGAGACGGATTGCGACATCATTCCTGAAGCAGCCATGTCGAATGGCGTGAATGGTATCAGCCCGTCAGAAACACAGCTCATCAAGCGCCGTATCCCTGGCCACGCCAGCCTTTGGCGTCTAGTCATCTGGGATCGCCATTACCTCGAACTCATCGTCTCACTATGCCGTCCTGCCATCATCAACCGCCAAGCAACCTTTGCTCAAGATCGCCTTCTACGGCTCATTCCCCGTCTTACGGCTCTTCATCCCCGCGCCATGGCCATATCCCCATTCCCAGACCTGTTCCCTCTTCCCGAGTACGCCGATGACTCAATCGGGCATGGATTACTTCAATGGGCAGCGCTGAGCATGGTGGACACAAGCGACGTGCTTATGCATCAAACTCTCATTGTTTTTTACGAGTCATTCGTGAGTATCATGAGAATTGCGGGAGACTCGGCGGATAAGAATGCTATTGTACGAAATGTTGTCAAGGCGGCGACTTCACAAGATCAGGAACTAAAGCAAGCGCTGAGAACGCTTCCAGATCGTACCATACAGGAGGAGGCCGAGCCATTGGCTAGTTACATCAGTCGAATCCTCGACTAGGTGCAATATGATCCTGATGGAGATTAGGAACGAAGAAAGAATGAGCATAGAAGCAAGGAGAAGCCAGTTGTTCTACATAGGTGCTTTAAATCAGCATATCAAATAAAAAGCCATCATACTTTTATCTCCCTATGCCTTTAGGGAGGTTCCATGCAAAAGTGAACAATGAAACATCACATGGTACGTCCTCGATCAAATGATGGCCAACACCGATGGGATGAACATGAATACATATATGTATATTGCCACATCCCAATACAATTCATAATACAAATTCCCAGGCCGGCCTATCGCCGTATGGGATAGCCTGGGGTATCTAGAACAACGTCATGAAAACCAACATTCTCTATTAATCCATCCAACGCCCTGCTTCTCCTCGCCGTCGACAACCGCGGAGGAGGACCATCCTAAAGCATTCTCCTTGCATCCGCCTCTCGGTCACCGACCGGTTCTGCCGTAGCTCTGCTGGCTTCGCTGTCTCGCCGTTGTCCTGCTTGTGTCATGCCCTCGATACCCAGGCCAACTTCTCCAACTCGTCGCAGGACCAGAAGGAGCGACGATCGCAAGTCTGCTGTAAGGTCCTTGGTGAGAAGCTCAACCGCAAGAGGATAGAAGTCGGGGATGTGTTTCTTGAAAGCATCCTCAGGGAATGTGACAAAGCCTTCGAGAACATCGACTACAACGGGCCGCCATGCAACGATATTTCGATGCTGGCTCTCCTCCTCAAGAGCAGTGTAGCCGTGAACAATATCCTTGCAAAGGGGCACTAACGCATCCTCCACAGCAGCTCGGCTCTCCAATCGCTCAGGTGCATTGTCCGCAAACATGCGGAACAGGATAGAGATGTAAGTGGCTGCTGAGCCACTCTCTTGCTTCAGCAGGTTGGGAGGCTGCTTCATGAATCCCTCACGCCAGAGCCGCATGCGCAGTTCCTTGTCCTCGTTAAAGCGGCGGGCAAATTGGAAAGACCGCTTAAGTAAAGACATGAGTCGAAGAAGCTCGGCCGAGGGAATATGTGCGTAGACAGTGTCGTTACTGAACAACTCATTAACTGTCTCGATCATCAAGAGCTGCAGAACGCAACGAGAAATGATTCGGTTGAAAAATCGTCTTCGAGCCGCTGTAACTACTACAGGCTGTTGCTGAAGGTTTGAAGACGGTCTAAACTCTTCCAGGGCGATGTGAGGCGCGTCTCCCGTTGGTGTCTGGAGCTCTGCTTCGGCTGACGGGGGTGGAACAGTGTGATCATCTTCCAACTCTTCTCTGCCATTAATCTTGAGAGATGTCTCATCCATAGGCGTGGTTCCCGAGGCAGTTGACGAGAACTCGAGGCCATTTGGTGGTGGTGATATGGAAGCCGTGTTGTTGATTGCAGTGGCTGTGAAGAGTTGGTACGCGGTAGTTCGCTCAAACAGCTCACAGAAAGCACCAACAAGCTTATTCCAGTGTTCAGGCTTGAACTTGGTCACGTTCTTAAGGATTAACTGTTGCAAGCAATTGCTTCCAATTCGCGAAATTGTGTCATTCTCCTGACAGATACAAAGCGCCAGAAGCTCCAGAAATCTGTCCAACATGTACTCCAAGGCATCGAAGTAATGTGTGAAGAGAGTGATCATGTTCCGCAGAGCCTGAATCATAGTGGTCGATAGCCATACTGACAATTCTTCGTGGTTGAGGACGTTAGACATCTCTGGCCGAGACCTCAACACCATGAAAATAGGATAGAGTTGTTGACGCCACAGGATATCCCAGAACTCTGATGGGAAGGTGCCGCCGTACTTGAGCAGAGTCTCGAAGAAATACTCCAAAGCGTTTGATCGCACTTCCAAGTCTTCTCCAGTCATGAGAACGTCATGGAAGGCGAAGAGAACGGGGAACCAATAACCCTCCTCAACAGATGTGTTTGATCGGGATCGCTTTTCAGAATTCTGCGTGGCTCCATCTGGAGGTGGAATATTGTTGTATTTTTGCGACAATGGACATTCAGGGGTCTTGAGCATAGTAGGAATCAGAGATTTCAATAGCTCCAACGCTGCCAAGCTCTTCTTCTGAAACTTGAGGTTCTTGGAGAACTCCGTCAAGCATACGATCAGGTCAGTGAATGCGCCCTGAGAAATAACGACTCCGAATTTGGTCTTGTACACCTGGTTAACATTTTCGTAGGCCAAATTGACAATGCTCTCGTGAGGATCACGTGCAGCAACTGTGAAAACACCAAACATGGTCCTCCAACCTGATCGGATGTTATCTCCACGGGCCTGGATCATTTGTATCAGACATCTGAGAACCATATCTTTGACGGTGACATTATGTGAGTTGGCAAGGACATGCTCAAAAGGCTTCAAGAAATCTTTCTGGAACTTGAAACCAGCCAACTCTTCAATCTCCATAAATCGCATTGAGAGCTGACGTAGAGAATCGAGAGCGAAAAACACGATGTTCATGTTATTGTGACATCCAACACGGTTGAAGTGCTCACCGAAAACCTCCCAAATGTTGCTCCATTCGAATCTTACACGGTCCATGTTGTAATAGCTGATTTCGACAATCTTCTGCAAGCTGTATGTACGAGGTGAGTCGTTGGAACCGGACACCTTGATCTCATCCCAACTGACTTCTGTCAAAGCCCTGGCAAAGTAGACCATGGACTCACCGGTAAGCGTTGCTGTATTTGTGAAGATGCGGTCAACGCTGCGAATCACCTCATCTGACCGACTCTCTAGGGCGATCTCGGTGGAGAAGCCCTTAGATGCAGTTCCTGCTCTGGCCCGTGTTGTTTTCTTGGAATTGGAGGATGAGCGAGAATCAGAGGTTTCTGATCTCTGTGGTGGCAGGAAGCGAGCTTTGGACACATCAGGCACAGCACTCTCGTCAACTCCACCCGAGATGAGCTGAAGTCGGTCAAGTTGACTGATACACATCAAGATGTCCTTCCATGACTCACGAAGAACGTTACCCTCAGTCTGTCCCAGCTCGAGAACGACCTTGAGTGCCTCGATATTCTTCGCCAGCATCTCCTGTGGGTTGTTCAGGTTCGTTGTGTTTTTCAAGGCCGACATGAAAGCCTCTCTGGGTGTGGACAAATCAAAGAGACAGGCAATTTGAGTGGCGAGCTTCATACCCTCTAGGCACAGCTTGTTGACTTCAAGATTGTGAGACTTCTGAATCTGGCTTGAGAGTGTGGAGAAGATCGACATCCAGGTGACGTTAAACATTGGGCTTACATGTTTGAACGACGTTGCGAGTATGTACTTTGTGCCAGCTTTGCGGCGCTGGCTCTTGAACAGGTCCTTGAAGAGCTGCTCAGAACGCAGAGCAATTTCCTCGGATTGTTGCATGTAGGCCTCACGCTGCAAATCACGGCCCACGTTAGAGAGAGCTTGTCCAAGACCAGCAGCAATACCGGTTGATGGAGCAGGGGTATTGCCAGCCGCTGCGGCAGCATCACGCTCACTCTTCAGGACGATCTCGTTGGCAGCGATTTCGTCGTAGATGCCCAGGAGATATTCATCGGGTAAATCAGCATTGTCGTTGATACCGCGGTTATTCTTGATAAACTCCTCCTTGCTCATGCGCTTGGCGATCTTGACGCTATGCAAATCAGTGTTGAGCAAAATGACTGAATAGGCCAACACGTATGCAGTGTCTGCATTGGCAAAGGCATTTGGATTGCCGAGAACGTAACGTTCCGCAAACTTCAGCATGAATCGATCGATCTTTTGGGCTTCACCAGGCAGGCGGAAGGACTGAAGGAATTGGCGCAAAGAATCAACAAATCTTCTCTTGGCAAACTCCATGGTGTCGACAAATGCGTGCATGATGTCAATGTTCTTTTGGTCACCTTCACCCAAGTACTCGCCGATTTGGGCCTTATCGAGCTTGTCCTCCTTTATCAAAAACTCGGCGATATCCTTCGGGCTGTCGCTTGGGATGAAGCCATCACGCAGAAGCATCTGGATACCCTTCTTCGGCTTGAAATTAAATTGGTTAATCCCTTTCATCAGTGCTGTTTTCCGTGCTTTCTCCTTTTCCAATTGATCCGGGTCATCCTCCAATATGGGGGTTGATGGTGGTAGAGGAGTTTCGACACGAGAGATGCTGTCATTGATGCTTGGATCAATCGACGGTCGTAGATCGAGAGAAGCCTTCGGGTCGTGGTTTTCAGAACGTGGAGGCTCGGGATCACCTCGTATAGGTGCCGACCAGTTCACCATGGATCGTAAAGTCTCAACTAAAGCTTCGATAGACAGGCGCTTGATGGCATACTCCTTAGGGTAGTCAGGTTCGGCTTCCTGATGAGGAGCAATATGAGCAACTGTCAGAGGGGGCGGGAGTGTTGCCTTGAGCTGCCACTCGCTCGCAGGCGTTGACTTCAGTCGCATCTCTTCATATACTTGTTCGTTGATTGTAGTAATAGTGAGCGGAGTGGTGGAGAACTTGGATAGGTCTTCGATGATAGTTTGGTAAATATTATCAACTGTCTGGTCACAGTCGTAATTAAGGTAAATTTCAACAAGCGCCTTAGGATCCGCGCATAATCTGTTCAGAATTGTGACAAACTGAAGCTTTTGAGAAAGAGGCGCGGTCCTTCGCGCAAGAAGTGCTAGGTAGATTTCATTCAAGAATACCTCGATTTCTTTCTGTCATCCGTGTAAGTTATCTAATCTTTTATACGCATGTGTCAGTCTTACCTTGAAGTCGGCGCGCATATATTTGATCATCAGCCAGAAGATCTCGCTGCTAACATTGAATATTCGGTCCACAGAGCTGGCGCCGTTGCGGGTGATACTAAGACAAAGATAGAACTTGATGGCCTGAAGAAAACTCGTAGGCTCGCCGCTTTTTGAATTCTTGATAGTACAAAAGGGAGAGGTGAAAACTGCAATGTTGTTGTTAAGAAGGGTGTGAATAAGGTGAAGAGAAATGAGTTTAGAGCGCATTGGCTGGCCACGGACGTCGTATAGCTGGTCAGGTGGCAGAACCTTGGTTGACAGGTTGCAAAAAGAACGAAAGACGAGGTAAGCATCACGGATGTAGACCTCATCCTCCGCGTCCAACACCTCGCCATCCTCTGGAGGCGAAGTCTCCTGGCCAGCCTGATCAGAGGCCGGGGTGCCTGTTTCCTTGCGCTCGGGTTGAAGTCTCGTTACCATGGTAGGACCGTCGCCAAGGTTCGAATCGTCAAAGCTCTTGCGATGCTCGAGATCTTTCAATGTAAGCTTGACACCACTCTCGGGAGGTTCGGCCGATGCATTCACAGCTTCGGAGGGTTCAGCCGGGGACTCGTCGCGGTCGTTATTATCATTGGCACCGTTGGGCGTATCGGCCTGGTCGAACGTGGCATTGCTGGCTCCATGCTTGAGATGCTCCAGGTTCAGGCGAGCCTCCTTCATATGTAATCTCGTCTTGACTCGTTCAAAAACGGTACCGACCATCTGGGTCAAGGTCCCCTGAGCAACCTGCTGGTTGGCCGTGCTCCGCGACAACAAAAAGACATTATACACTTGTCGCACGGCTTTGAGGAGACCAGCGCCATGGACGACAATTTTGTCATTGAGGACGGCGGCAAGTAAAGACTTGACAATCTGAAGCTGGATCTCAACAGCGGTCGTTTCGCCTTGGAAGCAGTTGCATATCGTATCAATCGCTCGCTCGATCAGGGGAGGGACAGGTTCGGCACCCTCTTCGGTTCCCTCGGGGGGGTTACTTGGAACGGAAAAGTAAGAGTATGAGATGAGCTTTCCGATGCAATCGAGTGCGGTCGTAGTAAGCTGTACATTTGTAGAGCGTGAAGCTAGCTGTAGAGGAGCGAAAACAATCTCGGGATCAGGAAGCTGGTCCTGTTCTTTGATGGCGTCGAGTGCTTTGGTAGTAGAGTCGGCCAGTTGCTTGTTGCGCTGAGCATCCTTGGACGAGGCAATGGCCTCAAGTGAGGACACTACAAATTTGAGGGAGCTCATGGGGGAGCGCAGAAAGGGCCAGTGGCCATTCGTTTAGGGTACAGAGAATCGAGGAGGTCGAAGTCGAAGGAGAGAGGTTGTAAAGTTGACGTCGCTCCCAGGGCAATTAAAGAAAGGAGACGTGGGCGCTGCGGAAGAGGGAGCTAAGTTCATGTGCCTCAACTTAACTTCCAGAGTCTCGGCGCAGTCCACAGATTGAACTGTATGACAAAAGTCAACTGTGGCTGTTGGTATACAGATTGGACAGACACCAACAAAAAGGATAAGAGAAGAGAATAGCCCGTGTCTTGGTGTTGTTGTCAGCTTCTGACCCTTCTCAAAGCTATTACACTGTAGCAAGTACAGTACCAGGGGTACGAAGTCAAAGTGGACAGCGTTTCCAGAGGCTCCGCTTCCCGAAAATGAGCTCTAACAACGGGACCCCTAGCCCAGGGAAGGCCTCGTAAGCTGCCCGCCAATTAGCGGCCAAGAAAGGGCATAGTGTCATCTCAGACAGGTACCAGTACAACTTTCTAAGTCATCTCCACAGCCACAGGTGGCTGAGTAAGTGCCTACCCTTAATCTGTAGGAAAAAGATTCATGAAGACACCTGTAAAACTTCTCTCACAGAAGCCTAATTTAATTACATGGTTTCATTTTCTTTGAGGCATATGCCAAATTGTCGATTACAGTTCATTCAAAGTCTGCAGGTGCATATGGGCCACTAGACATTATGTTAGAGACATCTGACTCTGAGAATTCTCCGAATACAAGTCAACAAAATGAACAGAAACTACCCTACCAGTCTCAAATGCTCGATTCGGCAAAAAGGCACCTGACTCTGCTCGACACCAACATCCATGAAGTCAAGCAGTTTATCCAAGCTCTGCAACTGAAATCCAGGCCCATATCTTCATCAGGCTTGCCAACTTTCTTACGCACATTGGAACGGGAAAACACTACATTATGCAACCTCGTCATTGAACTATCAGACTCGAGTACAAACATTGATGATTTGCAACTCACAAAGCGAGAACAGAAGCTTGACGCGAGTGCCACTACAACGATGCAGAGCATCGCTCAGTGGAACCGACTCAAGAAAAGCTATAGCTTCGTTGCTTTAAACCAGTCCTTTCAGGGCTCGTCGAAGGATTTGCGAAAACAGGAGATCCAAAAACGACAGGTTTCAGGGCAGGAGAAACACAATTTGCACCGGCTTCTAAAAGAACAAGCTAGGATTGAGGTCGATGTTGTTCAAGAAGGACGAGAATGGATTGCTGCTAAAGCTATCTCTCGCGATAGACTCGCTCGCCAGATGAACGATAGCGGCTGGGGATGGGGAGACCATGAACTTGGTGATGAAGTCGACCGGGATGAGTGGGAGGATACCCCTTTGGCCAAATACGTACAGCGGCTAGTAAACGCTGCAAGAATGAATCGTCATGAATACAGATTCCCTCGAATACGTCTGGTTCTGACTGGTCTTATTCGAGGTGAAAGGGAACTTGACATACTCCTTGATCAACTAGAACACATTGATCCGCTTGTCAAAGTCATCGTCGAAGATCAGGATAGCGACTTCGTCACAGCATCCCCTCCTCCGCTTGACGAAGCTATTGACAATCTTGTTGGCAATGAGCTTGCGTCACTCACTCCTACCATCAACCTCGATCACACCATCCTCATCGATCTTATTTCCGACTTGACTCACCTCAAACTTGAAACCCAACCGTGGCAGTCACGGACGACACGCGCCCAGATAGACGAAGAGAATGCTCATGAAGGGGGTCTCATGTCTCGTGTGTTGTACCCGGTGCTAGCAGGCCGCAAGCTCGTATGTACCCGTGAAGCAGCTGATCATTTCCACGATGTGCTACGAACTGTCGGTACCGAGACTGAGCGCGAGCGAGGGAGATTATTGATTCCCTGGGGTGACGATGTGAAATACACGTCTCCGGACCTCACGCGGCAGCGTTTTCAGCAACTCACTGTTTATCCCTTACCACCTGATGTTCAGATACCTGTTTCTGTAATCGACGAAGCATGGGATATGCAAGCTATCAAGTGTGGTACTTCCAATGGGAGTCTTCCTCAGGTCGCTCAAGATGTGGCTCTGAGTAGCGGCTTCAAGAGCTCCAAGCTGTCTATCTTCATGTACGGGTGGGCGGCTGGCCTCACCACTGTTACGAGCAACAAGGAGGTCAGAGGGCAAATTCGAACTTGGGTGGAAGCACATCGAAAAGACGATGAAGAAACTGGGCCTCAGATATTTCGATTAGAAGTGACGAGGAACCTATTAGCTAAAGCTGCAAAGCCCAGAGAGGGATGGCAAGAGAAGGATGAGGCGGATGGTGATAATGACGAATCATGATGCATGGACTACCCTATACAGAAATGTTGAAGGCATAATACATTAACTGCAAAGGAAAACCCAAGATATCCTTGAACTATGATTCAATATCCAAATCTTGATTGATAAGATAAGTCCGATGTCGAATTCTTGCACTAAGGAAGTTGGCATCTTAAATCCTCAATGTCCACGTATGTCCGAGCATTCTAAAACAATCGGACCAACCCTGAACCGAATCTTACTCCGGCAGTCTAGAATAATCTATAATTTACACTAATAATAGGCAGGAATCACCTGCTTCTGCATCAGCAACTGCTGCGGGATCTTTGCCATTTCCCTATAAGGCTAGCTTACATCACTGTCACTTATAGAATCTCGGTCTTTTGGCTCGGTCTTTTGCATCCCCACTGATTGATACTGCCCATACCCCCAGCCATGGTATCACAGACATATACTTCAAATTACAATTTTTCTCCAGGCTGTTCGCATTGTTGAATTCTCCGTGCCTCGCTGTTTTTTGAGCCGAGTTCTCTGAGCTCGACCCAGCAAGTATGCCTGGCAATTCACCCCCAATCACACTCTCAACCCCCAGCTTCTTCTTTAATAGTCCGCTTGATGTAAGTCAGGAAACACTTGCAGAAGCGACAGCCCTGCAGGACACTTCCTTTGATCTACCGGCCGAGACAGCAACTGCCGGTGGTGGAACCGTGTCCTCGGCTGCCAAGACGGAGAAGAAGCGGCGCCGGCCAGCCCTCTCGTGCGAGCAATGCCGGCGCCGCAAGATTCGATGCGATCGTAGTCTACCTTGTGTGAACTGCGTCAAATCCAAGATATCACCTTGCACTTATGCCCCAACTCACATACCAGCTTCACGTGCCAAGAAAGGTACAGGCCATGCTGCTGGACCAGACTCAAACTCCCAGGTGCCAGCCAGGTCGGCCCCAGCCATTGGGTCTACCCAGAGACAATCCCCATCAAGTTCATCTGCAAGACGAACATCTTCTAGCATTCCAAGCTCAACAGTAGGATCCAACTCAGACGCCTCCACGGTTGATGCCCTGGCTGCGAGGGTCAAGGAGTTGGAGCAGAAGCTAGCCGAGTCTTGTTACATTACGCAACCAGCGGAAGACAAGTTGATACAGCCTGATGACCAGGAGGAGGAGTCGGCCCCTATGAAGGGGACTGTTTCTAAGACGAGGTTTTTTGGTCAAAGTCACTGGATGAACGGCCTTTTTATGGTCAGTGGCCCATTTCACGTACCAGAACTTTTCTGACTAGAGCTTATAGTTTCCTGGTGTTTTTGATATGCTCAAAGAGGCAGAGTCTCGCAAGAATCAACATCACCTTGGTATGGCCAAGTGCAAATCTCTGGGCCGTACTATCAAAGCAAATCGTTCCAAACCTGTGTCGACTGACAAGTTAGGCGAAAATATTCCTGAGCGCGACCTTGCTGATCAGCTTGTCAATGCCTATTTTGATACCTTCGAGGGCGTGGTTCGGATACTTCACCGTCCAACCTTTCTGGCCGAGTATGAACGCTACTGGCAGAATCCCGAAGCCGCCAGTCAGGTTTTCCTTATGCAGCTTCAGTTATGCATGGCCATCGGAGCAACTCTTCACGATGACATCTTCAGCTTGCGCGCGACTTCCATGCATTGGGTTCATGAGGCTCAAATCTGGCTTATGATACCACCGGAGAAGAGTAGGATGACTATTGCTGGTATTCAAATCATGTGTATGCTGGTCATCGCTAAAGCGTGTTGTGCGGTTGGCCAGGACCTTACCTGGGTTTCGGCAGGGTCCCTAGTCAGACAGGCTATGTACATGGGATTGCACCGGGACCCAAGGCATCTTGGTAACATGTCTGTTTATCGTTCAGAAATCCGTCGCCGCCTCTGGGCAACCATCCTTGAACTCAATCTACAATGCTCCTACGATGCTGGAGGCCCACCTCTTCTCTCCTCGAAACACTACGATACACGGCTCCCAGCGAATCTGAACGATGATCAACTCACAGACGAGCCAGACTCTGATAGAAAACCAACTGGTGATCCCGAGACTTTGACTGATATGTCAGTCCAGCTCGCTCTTCAAAAGTCCTTTGCTCTTCGCCTTGTCATTATCAAGCATGTCAACGAATTTCGATCCAAGGAGTCATACGCCGAGACACTTCGTCTGAACTCGGAACTCACAAAGGCATGCCGCACATTGACAGAGACACTTGCTGCTCTATCGGAAGCCCAGAGACACCAGCCACGAACAATCTTTACCCACTTCCACAGTTCTCTTGTTCAAATGTTCACATACCGCTGCTTCCTCTCTCTTCATCAACCCATGGTCGCCCGATCCGCCCTGGACCCAACCTACTACTACTCTCGCAAAGTGTCCCTCGACTCTTCTCTGAAGCTTGCTCAAATTACTGGCCTATCTACACCTCGCTACGGCACTTCTTCGCCTGGAGGCTCCCTGGACCCTGCAGTAAGCTTTAACCGCCTCATCACGAACGGGGCAGGTGTTTTTCGTGTGATCCCAACTCAAACGCTTTTCTCCGTTGCACTTGAGTTTATCAAGAAGTCAGAGGAGCAGAATGATAGCGTCGGCGGCGGCCCTGTCATGAACCTTTATGAACTTCGCGCTGTTCTTCAAAGTGCGCAGACATGGTTTGAGAGACGACTACGAGCCGGAGAGACAGGAGTCAAAGGATATTGCTTCGTTGTTGCGTCTCTCGCTCTCGCCGAGGCTCTAGAAATGAGATTGCCACAGGAAGACGTTGATCAAATTATCGTTGATACGGGAGCAAGTATAAGTATGAAAGCCTATAGTTTGCTGAAAGAAGTTGCCGAGCGAGAAGGTTTATCGCTCGGTGAGCCTGAAGATGGAGAAGCTGTACACATCGATGTGCCAGCGATGGATAGTGATGCTATGCAGGGTATTATGGAGATGCCCTTCGACTGGATGGTAATGGGTGGCGATCTTGGTTTAGATGGAATGGGAGGGTTCAACTGGGCTCGAGGTGCTCTGGGTATGCCTCAGCAGTTTGACTCGGTCGATCCATCAGTTATATCACAATTTTAAGGCTGGCGTGGAGGGATCTGTAATGACTTGATGATGAAGGAAAATCCCACCTTATGTATTAATGTACCTTGGCACTTAACATGGCAGCCTCTCCTCTACTAAAATTTACTTGTCTTCAACCATCAAACACGATAACGACTCTCTGAACGCCTCAAAGGCTCGCGGATTCCAATGCGGCTCGCAGTGAGTTACGACAACGTCTTACCACCTGGAGCCTGGTCTCAAGATGATTCATCTCAGCAGTTGCTTCGCACAGACCAAGCTATTGATCGCAGGAGGGGAGAATCGTATATTCAAATTTTGTGGTGATATATGCAGTGTAGGCACAGTTTAAATGGTCATATCTGGCAGTCGTAAAGCGGGCAACAGGAGGGAACATATAATGAGGGCATATGCAATAGATTCTTTGTCCAAAACACCCCCCAAGTTCGAAAAGATATAACATTATTAATCAAGGGTCATTGTACACGGGCTTTTCCAGCCTCGTAAATCTTCCACGAATGCTGCGGCGTGATCAGGCGAAGAAGCTCTGTGGGTGTCCTCATAGATGCTCATCATCGTCGTGATTCACCGATCCTTACCCAGGAATGCTCTCATGAGTGTCCCCATGATATCCCAAGTAAACGCCTTACCGCATCTCCGTCCTTCAGAGATCATCTCCTCCTGTTCTATAAAAAAGTCATTTCCTCGCTCGACTAGCATTTCATCTCTCCTAATATGCTTCGGTTTTCAGAGGCCACTGGACGTCCTACCCCTGATCTACAGAAGAAGCTCAAGAGGGTTCTCAAGAACCTGCTTGAGCTCCTTGAGCCACTCAGCACCGACGGCACCGTCAACGACCTTGTGGTCGAAGCTAGCAGTTAGGGTGATTTGGTCGTCGAACTCAACACCCGCCTCGTTCTCGGCGGGGATGGCAACCTTCTTGGTGGTACCAACAGCGAGGATGGCAGCCTGGGGAGGGTTGATGACAGCGGTGAAGTGGTCAACAGCGGGGTTCATGCCCATGTTGGAGATGGAGATGGTACCACCCTGGTACTCCTCAGGCTTGAGCTTGCCATCACGAGCCTTCTTGGCGAGAGACTTGACCTGGCTAGAGATGGCCTCGAGGCCACGGCCCTCAACACCGGTGACAATAGGGGTGATGAGACCAGTGGGTGTGGAAACGGCAACAGAGACGTCGACGTTGTTGAACTGGCGGATGTTACCGTCGCGCCAGCTGGAGTTGACTTGAGGAACCTTGCGGCTGGCGACAGCGATAGCCTTGATCAGGAAATCGTTGACGGAGAGCTTGTACTTGCCATCGGCAGAGCTGTTCAGAGCTTGGCGGAGCTTGAGGAGCTTGCTGACGGAGATGGAGCTGGTGACGTAGAAGTGAGGGTTGGTCTGGGTGGACTCGACCAGACGGTTGGCAATGGTCTTGCGCATACCGCTGATGGGGATGTCCTCGTAGGAAGCGCTGGGGGCGCTGCTTGCGGCGGGGCTGCTGATGGCCTTCTTGACATCCTCCTCGGTGATCTGACCGTTCTTGCCGGTACCCTTAAGGCCATCGATGCTAATACCCTTCTCGCGGGCAAGTCGCTTGGCGGGAGCGGAAATGTTGGGCTCACGGTCGAGGGCAGTCTGGAGACGGCCCTGAGACTGGTATTGTTGAGGCTCAGGAGTAGGCTCGGGGGCGGAAGCGGACTCAGACTTGGACTCGGACTTCTCCTCCTTCTTGGGGGCAGCGGGCTTAGCGGCATCACCACCAGCGTCCTCAATGGAGAACTTCTCGAAGGCGGAGATATCGGTACCCTCCTCAACAAGGACGGCAATGGGCTATATCAGAGAATTGTATGTTAGTGACATGATTTAACAGCAGTGAGTGATATTAAGCGCTGGAGAAAGATACCCCGAGGCCCGAGAGGTGGCCTGAGTGGGTTCAAAAAAATGAAGAACTTACGCTGCCAACAGGAATATCCTTCTCACCAGCATCCTTGAGGATCTTGGCAATGACACCCTCCTCCTGGAACTCGAAGTCCATCTGGGCCTTGTCGGTCTCAATCTCTACCAGGACGTCACCAGGGGCGATAGAATCACC